TATAGCATAAATAAAATTAAAGAGGACTTATCACGCCCTTGATAAAGTCTTGATGTGTTCAGGCTCTACTAGAACAGGTTTTCCTGCTTGAATGTTGATTATTCTCCTCATATTCTCCATTGTTGCGGCTCCTCTCTTCCCAGTCTGTCAGTAACGCTCTGTTTACTTCCTGTCTCTATGAAGCCCCTCCTCCTGAAAGCACACTGTGCTCTGATTGGTCGGCCGGAGTGGTGTGTTGTGACTAGTCGAGCGCTTTGAGTGTGTTTGGGAAATGCCCCGCCCCTTTCCTTAACTAACTCAACCAGGCCCCGCCCCTTTATTCTGCGCATTAATTATTATAATGAGGAATATGACACTGATATATAGAGGAGAACACACACATCAACATCACACACTGAAGACAGAAACAGATCCTCTTTACGCTTATTTTAGGAGCATTAAGATTTTCCTGCATTGTGACGATATTCTTACGATATTCTTTCATTAGATTCTCAATCAATTTAATAGAGTGATTTGCTAAGTAAAACAAACACCATGTAAATTAGTGTGCGTTTCCAACTATGGATGTTTTTCAGAAAATAAACACTCACATCATTACACATTAGATCAAACTGAGGTGGATTTCACAGGCAGCGTTTCTTTAATACACAGAATTAAATACTCAAAACTTTTTGCATATTTTAATAAACAAAAATTGTGTGTTCAAGAGATGTTTACCTCGATCATTTCACCTTCACCGACTCTGTAAATAGTCGGTACCAACAAGTAGAGCCCGACCGATAAAGGATTTTGAAGGCCGATACCGATACAAATAATTTGGGGTTTTAAAATCCGATATTCCGATATATCGGCCGATATTTTTTTTTTATTAAATATTGTTGGATTTCACACACGTGTAAAAGAAAAGCTAACTTTTCTGCACAAGATACGTTTGATACTTTTTCTCTATGTCTAAATGTTCACTCCTCGCGACTCGCGAGTATAACTTACATTTTACAATGCAGGGACTGTAACTAGAGATATGCTAGTTATAAATACAGTAATCATTACTTTATTTAGGCAGAAAAAGTTCATTGTGGTTTCCAACTCATTAATGTTAACGTTAGCGGTCTTCCACTGATGATAGTGGCGTTAGCTAGCTTTAGTCTATGATGAGCCATAATTTAGCAATAGATAACGTCATACTGAAAATTGTAAAACATACATTTTCAATATAACAGGCCAAGGAGAGATGATTGAAGCGTGTTTCGTCCGTTTTTATTTTATTTTTTAAATATTCATTTATCGGCCATTATAACTGCAGATATTGATATTATGGAAAATGCCTAATATCGGCCGATATATCGGTCTGGCTCTACCAACAAGTACATTAACGTTGGATAGGCCGGCGTAAACACCTTTATTATGGACTAAAGCTCTGAAGTGAGGACGGGAACACCAGATATCTGTGGGACACTCCCTCAACCTCAACAAATATTTACATACTATCCGAACCTTAAACAAGTTTGCATCTTTAGTCACTAGAACTCGAACCGATCAAACCTCCAGTTAGTGATCAGAACAGTCAAAGCAACCGAATGAACGTCGTGTTGTTTAATAATCCAGTGCACACTATATAACACAACCGCACACCGGGCCCGAGAGCGAGCCGGATCATGTTCCAGTGCAGGAATCACAGTCACATTCACAGACGACGACACACACACACACACACACACACACACTCACACCAGGTGTGTATTCGGCTCGATGCGTCGATTAACCACAGATAAACCCTCTGATTATAGTCCTGCTGTCTGTCTAGGGCGGTGTGTGTGTGTGAGTTTTACTGTTAAACAGCTCATCATGTTCACGTTCATACAGATCCGATCCACTATCAGTCGCTCTGAGGCTGACCAGGAGGAAGAAACGCGCGATTAAAGTCATTCAGATCTTGCGATAACTGGCAGGAAACTTGTTCTATTCCTGGCCTGTCACACTAGCTCCGCCCACAGTCACGTCTGATTGGCCTGTGCATTCTTATTCGCTGTGATTGGCTCTTAAACACACTTTCCTGGACGTGAGTGTGTTTATGAATCTGTTATAACTCTAACTCTCAGATACTGGACGGAGAAGATATCAGCTTTAGCTTTAGCTGGAGTGTGTGTGTGTGTGTGTGTGATCCCCCCGCTGACGGGAAGCGAGTGGGACGTTCCATCAGGCGTCGGCTCCACACACACTCAGAGGTCGAAAACAGGTCAGCACCATTTTGGCTGCAGTAGGTGTGTGTGTTCGGGACGAGCTGTAAGACGACACCGACACACAAAACACTCACACGCCTGACGCACTGGATATGTGTGAGAAACACACACACACACACAACTATCACTTACTTACTCACTCACTCACACACTTGTACACACAGACTCACACACCACTGCTTACAAACATACAGTTTGTCTCTGAAAATAGAAATCATTCTACAGCAAAATTCACCAGAACAACTTCTGTTTATCTTTGACATCTCTCCTCATACTGAGATATTTCATACATTTAATTAAAATGATCTGAAGCAACACAATTGCTGAATATTTTATCACTATGTTTTTACATTTGTGTTTGAATTATATGTTTGAATAATTAGAATAAAATAAAAAAAATGCACTTATTCACTTAAGTTAAGAGGGTTTCACTGAATTCCATGTGTGCAATTAAGAAAGTTTAGAATGTGAAATTACTTTAAAATCTGAATTAAATGAAGGGTAACTTAAGTCAACAGAACAGTCATAATGTCGTCTTCCATATCTCAGGCGTTTCCTTCTGTTCTTCTAACGTAGTAACTAGTAAAGGAACTTTTCACATTAAATAAAACTTGTATGTTATAAATAACACTGACATTTACTTTGTCTATTTCCACAACAGAAATATTCCAACAGAAGCCAGTTGTGCGAAACTTGTTACTCGTTTATTTCCTCGACAACAACGTTTCGCCTGAAAACTCAAACTTTTAACAACATCTTTAAAAGTGCAAGTTTTGGAAACGATCGTGTTATCGTGACGTGATTTCGTGAAAACAGTGACGTCACACATGTTGCGTGCTCAGTGTGCGTAGTGTTTCTTCTAGTGCTGTCAAACGATTAATCGCGATTAATCGCATCCAAAATAAAATTTTACAAAATATTATGTTTGTGTTTACATAATATATATGTGGGTGCACTGTGTATCATTATTTAGTATATAAATACACACACATGCATTAAGAAAAAAATATTATTTATGTATAAAATACTTATATTTACATATCATATAAATTATATAAAAACCTATAAACAATATATATATGAAAATATTTCTTAAACATATACAAGCATGTGTGTGTATTTCTATATAAAATAATTATACACAGTGCACCCACATTTATTATGTAAACACAAACTTTTATTTTGGATGCGATTAATCGCGATTTAATCGTTTGACAGCACTAGTTTCTTCACATCCACATCGCCACCTACTGGCCTGGCAGCAGAATACAGCACTTTAACCGTATTGTGGATCCGTGCGAGAGGGGTCGTCTGTATGTGACAAATGCGAAGGAAACTAATATCATTTTTAGTACATTGTTGTCGTGTACAGAGTAGCGAAATTTAATTTTCACTACTCTAATTTTAATTTCCTGCATTTGCATTTGAGTAAACTATTCATAACTATCGAAAAAGCTTGCCGTTTTTTTCCGGACGCTGGTAAAACGCTTTACTTTGATTTTATATCCAACAAAAATGCAAAGTGTTGAGTTCTGAACGTTACAGTGTTTGACAAGTAAATGACAATTACATCCAGTGAACTATCATCTCGACGTCCTTCCGTCTCGGTTCTCGTGTGTTCATCCTGACCTCCGTTATCTGCACTCTTACACACACACACCGATGCTGTGATCAAGCTATCATCCAAATGTGGATTTCCTCAGGTGATTGTGATGTGTGTTAGACACCATATGAGCTGATGACAACATCTGCTCACCACGTGTTCACACACACACACACACTCCAGTGCAGTAGGTCAGGCACCTGTGAGCTGAAACTCAATCCACATCATTACCTAGAACACGACCAAGCAGAACCAGAGCAGAGAATAAAGCCGGCCTGTTCTTCTCTTCACCCGAACTAACGAGCTAATCAATTATATGAAGCCCGTTTTAGATCTATTGAGAATATGTGGGTTTTTTATTGCATGGTCATGACAAGTAGGAACATTTCCCCAAACTTCTCCAAAACTTGATTCTAATATTTAAACAATCTTATTTGAATTACAAAGTCAATAGTCTAGTTTGTTGATAAACTGTGAAAATGAAAACCCTTTTAAAAATTAAAATTTGCCATAACTGATAGCATTAATGGTGCTAACACTAAGCTTAATTTTCGTTATAAAACAAATAAAATTTCTTATTTTTAAGTCAGTGTCAGAAATATCATTTACGAATCTGAAATTATGTTTCCACACGGATCTGAAGTCAAACCGAATCGGAGTCTGTATTAGCTGACGGAGGCCTGTACGGTTTCACCAACAAAATGCCTCAATTATATATTTTCAATTTTATATTTACAATATGATGACAAGTTCCGATCATATTTTAGGAATCGGATATGTTTACACACGGATCTGAAGTCAACCCGATTCAGAATCCGGATTGTAGCTGACGGGAGGCCTCCTGTGCGGTTTCACCAACAACACAATGCTTCACTTATATATATTTGACTCGCACGTCACTAGAGAAGCAAAAGCAAGTTGATATATGGGTTTGACAACATAATCTGCTCATCTCGAGACACAAATCAACATCAGATCACACCGTGAAGCGAATCCACATCAGGAATATTAATAGCGACAGCAGCAGCGCGTGTTATTGGACGTTAAACAGACGCCCGTTATGTTTTTGGTTTTGCTTTCTGACCGAACAGATGCCGCTCTCCATCCTCGAGACCTGTGTGTGTGTGTGTGTGTGTGTGTGTGTGTGTGTGTCTCACCCATCGCCTGACGCTCCTCTAGATGTTCATTGCGGATGGAGGCTCAGGGTGGAGGTGAAGGCGGGCGAACCGAGGCTTTTGTTCGCATCGGAGCGTCGGATCCCGCGGATGATGCTTCAGTGACGCGCGGCCGGTGATGCGGGCGGATCGCACGCGTCTCGGGCGTCTGTGTGTAAATCCATCGCAAGGCGCAGAAGAAAGGGAGAGAAACGCGCTCTCGATGCGTCGACGCGTTCGCGGCGCGAGTCCCGCTTGATCTCCGTGAAGCCCCCGAGCTTCAGTGCTTCTCTCTCGGTGTGTTTTCTGCTGAGATGACGCTCTTCCGCCCAGCAGTGTTCGGTTTTTGTGTGTGTGTGTGTGTGTCCGTCGGTACCGAGAGCAGTGGCGGCTGGTGATATTTATTTTTGGGGGGGCGCATTTTTTATTTGTATTTTTTTTATTGAGGAGGGCAAATAAATACAAAGCAGTACCAAAAACCATGTTGACTACTACTTAAATATAAATGTATGATCTTTTACATTTAATACCAATAAAGAAGTACCAAAAAGCATGTTTCCGACTTGAACTTAAATGTTGCTCTCTTTTATTTCGTACTAGTAAAGAAGTACCAGAAAGCATGTTTCCTACTTGAACATATTGCTCTCTTTTATATACATTTCATACTAATAAAGAAGTACGTTTGCATTTTTCAGAGAGATGTTTGAGGTCTCCTACCCCCGTTGTTGTCCACAAAACTTCAGTGCCGACACTTTGAAATAAAAGGCAGAGAATTGCTAATATCACATCCAGCCAGCCACCTCCGTTTCTCATAACACGCGCGGGTGAAGCTTCGTCCCCTGTCACTGGCCTGCTGCTGAATTTGTAAATCGGGTTAACACGTTGGTCCGGTCCGAGATCCTTTATCTTTTTTTTTCTTCCAGCGAAAGCCTTGTGAAAGGGTTTTTTTGTAAAAAAAAATCACAGAATTTGGATGAACTGCTGCCATTATTTATACAAAAAATGTCGAAATGGTGTCGTCTGCGCGCTCGAAATAGTATAGTAACGGCTCTGGTAGTGGCCCAGAGCGTGAAGTTGAATGACAGGTGACGAGACCAATCATATTGGATAAAATAACGTGAATCAAATTCTGATTGGCCAGGGACGCAACGACTTGCGCCCTGAGGTGAATCTTTAAGAAACCAATTAGAGGCCAGCTTCAGGTCACATGTTGCACGAAAATTTAAAGCCTCACATAGACACCCATTAGTCCGGCGTCCCAATGAAACACATTGAAAAACATAGAAAATAGTTGACCGATTAAAGCCAGTTTTTATTAAATGCTGATGCTTTTCTTACTACCAGCCGGTACATCGTATGAAAAAAAATATTTTATTGTTGTATTTTTATATAATTTTTGTATATGTATATTTCTTGATGGGGGCGGCGCCCCAGCGCCCCCTATTGACAGGCCGCCACTGACCGAGAGAGACCCGCAGCTCCGCCCTCCGGACCACCACACACACACACACAAACACCGAGTGCGACAACCAGCGGATCACTTCAGCATCCTCTCACGCGCTGCTCTTCATCCTCCGCGCGTTATTCTTCATCACAATAGCTTCTATTTAACACTGTTATCATTTACATATAGCATATAAACTATTATCTCACATTAATGAACCTCTCATATGATATGAAACTAGTTGTTTTTGGACACATAAAACATCTGTAATGTAATTATTTTACGTCACCTTCTCAACTTTATCCCGAAATTAAGATAATTCAACAATGTAGGCCTAGGATTATTAATTAATTAATTGTTATAGCCTATTCATATACTGTAGTGAATTTTTTTAACACAACCCTGTCACTGCAGGAGTTTCTTCCTTTTACCAAATATGAAACGTTCTTATGAATATGACGCACAGGAAGTGACCTCATTTAAACCTTTTTAGCGGTACATCTTTATAAAACACTGATATTCAACTATGATCTCACCAGAATGATCTCGCATATGAAAACTAGTTGTTTTTAGACACATAAAACATCTGTAATGTGATTTTGGTTTGCAATCCGTCACCTTCCCGTTTCTATCCAGAAGTTAAGATAGCATAACTCAACAACGTAACAATTGTTATATTTATTTATTGTAATTAGTGAATGTTTTTTTTTTGTTCCTCACATTTGTTGTATTATATTATGATAATTGTTGCTAATGTTCAAGCAATTAATTTAATAATGATAATAATAATAATATATTGGGTTGGTCTGATATTAGTTATTTTTTACTTGCCCCAAGAAATGTTAATTATAAATGATCCCTAAAAGGATATATATTGTGAAGAACTTCTACATTTTGCATGGTAAATATATTACACCCATAAACAAAAAAATAAATGCTAAATAAATATGTAAACGTAATTGAGTCGTTACAAAAGTGCTTAATGTTAATGACAAAAATAATTAAAATTCAGAAATTCTTTATTATGTATTCTTCCCATCTTAAATGTGTCCCAATGGAAAAAAAAACTCAAATAAAAATAGTTTTTGGTTTGTTTATCCTTCAGAATGTTTGATGAAATATGATAATGATAATGCAATATCTATCGTCTGAAGCATTCCTTCCTGTCTGTATGTTGAAACCTGTTATTTTAATACTCTTTTGGTTCAATAATTAAATGTATTTTTATAAACTGGAGTGTTGACAACATTTCCCAAAATCAGTAATTCAGCACAAAGTTATTGTAAGAAAAATGACCAAACACACACACACACACACACACATACATATATATACATATTTGTATATATATATTTGTTGCAAAAGTTGCAAACCCCACAGAACATGAGCTTCTCTAAATGAAACATATTTGACTCTGATGTTGACAGATCGGGACATGAAAAACTTCTGAAAGATCTGAGTCATCTAACCCTTCAGTTCTTCTTTGTATGAGCAAAAGTAGCGTCCGCACACAAGTACATGCAGGACCTGATCATGTTGTGAAGTGTTCATGAACACCAGTGTGTGTGTGTGTGTGTGTGTGTGTGTGTTCTGATCATGGTTTCTCCATTAGAGGATTCATCATTAAAATAACATGTGTTGTCCAGGAAATTCAAAACAAGAAGTCTCGCTTGAGATGGAAGCAAATCCACTGGTTATAGCGCCACCTTGTGGCTCATTCTGAGAAACACATTGCAAATCCTGCATATTGAAAATCAAAAAGATCAGACATTCAAAGACAGACATGAAATGACTTGTACATTAGTTCTTCCTTAAATTAAATGAACGAAATAATCAGTGAGTTGCTCGTCTGCAAGTGCATTACAGCACAGAGTCAGAGGAGGGATATCGGCCGATATATGTTCATTTTAAATGTTATCGTCGGCGGCGCAATAAGAACATTTGGCCGATATGTTAAAGCTGATAAATAATGGATTATAGGACACTGTTCGTCATGATGGTTTTGAATTGCTTGAAAATACGGTTCAGTGCAACATGAGCAGCGCAACTCTGTCATAGAAGCTACATCAAATGAACAGAATTAATTCTAGAACATTATAATTGTGTGCTTGACATGGTTTCAATGGTGAGACTTGCTTTTGTAACCAGGCTGTCAAAAATTATAAACAAATTCGGATTTAGATTTATCGGGCGATATATCTGTTATCGGCCGAAATGGACATTTCAGTGCATCTGTAAGAAAACTTGAGCCGGAAATAAGAGCCTCTACTGTTTATTATAGGAAACAGAAACACACACACACACACACACACTTGCTTATCTTACCGGAAACAGACGTCAAACTTCACAGAAGCAGAAAGAAGCTCAGAGAAATGAACGGTTATAAGACTCAAGGACAGCACTGTCATAATAACACACACGACACAGCCGGTGTCTCCTGTGACACTGACGCTTCTCACACACACACACACACACTCCACTATCATGCTTTCATGAAGGGAGAGTTCACCCAAACATGAACATTAGCCCATGATTTACTCTCCATCAAGCCATCCAGGTGTGTATGACACTCTTCATTCAGACAAACACAATCAGAGTTATTAATAAATGTCCTGACTCTTCCAACATTTATAATGGCAGTTTTTAAGTCCATAAAAGTGTATCAATTTATCCATATGATGATGGATAGACGCACTTTTATGATGGATAGTTGCACTTTTATGATGGACAGATGCACTTTTATGATGGATAGATGCACTTTTATGGAATTCAAAACAGAAACAGCCATTCACTGCCATTATAAAGCTTGGAAGAGTCAGTATATTTTTTAAGATAACTCTGTGTTCATCTGAAAGAAGAGTGTCATATACACCAAGGATGGCTTGAGGAAGAGTAAATCATGAGCTAATGTTCATTTTAAACTGAACTATCCCTTTAACCACAGACCCAGAGTTCACATCCCGCACTCGACGAGCTCGAGTGTGTCCCGTCACTGTGGGCCCATCTCTCCCGACGGGCCGTCGCTGTGGTCCATCCCCCAGAGCCGGTAGAACTGGCTGAAGTCCACGTATGGCGGCACGCGGCCGGTCTCGTCGGGTTGAGCCGCCTGGCTGCGCCGGAACAGGCTGCCGTCCCCCGAGCTGGAGCTGGAGCTCTGGGTGTGTGTGTTCGTCGACTGCAGCGTCGCTGTGGGACTCTGGCTGAGGGGCGGGACACACAGAGAGAGAGGGGCGGAGTCAGAGAGAGGGGCGGGGTCAAAGACACAGGTGAGGATGGGGGCAGGGTCAGAGACAGAGAAATGGGTGGGGTCAGAGACAGAGGTGAGGATGGGGGCGGGGTCAGAGACACATGTGATGATGGGGGCGGGGTCAGAGACACACATGAGGATGGGGTGGGGTCAGAGACACAGGTGATGATGGGGTCGGGGTCAGAGACACAGGTGATGATGGGGGCGGGGTCAGAGACACAGGTGAGGATGGGGGCGGGGTCAGAGACACAGGTGATGATGGGGTCGGGGTCAGAGACACAGGTGAGGATGGGGGCGGGGTCAGAGACACGGGTGGGGGCGTGGTCAGGACTCTCACTGATAGACGGTAAGGTTTCTACGGTCAGGGGAATCAGAGGAGTCATTAGACTACAGTTAAGTGAGGGGCCGTGGAGAGAAATGTGTGTGTTATTGATCTGCATACGCTTATAAACTCAACTACAATTGCTGAGGCGCAGGGTTACTATAGTTAACTAAAACACTACTTGAAATAAACTGAAATACAATATATATATATATATATATATTTATATAATTGTTTTATTTTTCTAATTTTGATTTAGTTTAACTTTATAACTAAATAAAACAAAACAAAAATGATAGCCAAAAGTTTGGAATAATTAGGATTTTAAAGGTGCCCTAGAATGTGAAATTGAATTTATTTTGTCATAGTTAAATAACCAGAGTTCAGTACATGGACATGTCATACAGTGAGTCTCAAACGCCACTGTTTTATCATTAGTACTTAAATCTCGTTTTTGAAAAACAGGCGAATCTCCACATAACACCGACTGTGACGGAACAGTCGGGATCATTAATATATGTATGACTCCAGACGTTTGCATATGCCAGCCCATGTTCACTGACAGGCGGAGCTGCGCAGTCGAAGCATGGCCGTCGATCAGTGTTCGGATGTACACACGAACACACAAGTGTTTTTTAGTTTCTTCATCCGAGCCTCTGAAAGGAACAATGGGTTAATTTTATTTTCTCTGGAAATTTCCAAACATTTCACTGACGACTGTTTCCTCAACTTGGGCCAATAGCTGTCCTCGGATCGAGTGACTAGTAACGTTACACTTTCTGATGTGTATTGTTCAAGTTCAGACGGGTAACGTTAATCTTTCTCTCAAAATCGTTCAATACTGTTTATTTCAACTAACAACTTACTTCTATCAACTAAATTATGACTATTTTTGATCTAAAAAACACTAACATTATAAGGACAACCCAGGAAACATTATAAAATAATTTAAAAAACATTATAAGGCACCTTTAAAAATGGTTGGTTGGGAGAAGTCTTTTCCGCTCACTAACACTGCATTTATTTCATCAAAAACAAACGTGTGTGTGTGAGTGAGTGAGAGTGAGTGTGTGTGAGAGTGTTACCCAGCGGTGGGTGTGTCTCCCTCCAGTGTGGACGCTGTGTTGGAGCCGTTGGTCAGTGTTCCCTGCGCCGGCATGACCAGTGACAGTGTGACGCTGGTCTTACTGGTGCTCTGATGATTCGAGTACGGCACCGACACAGGGTAGATCCGCCCGCCTGCAAACACACACAAACACACACACACACACACATCACTCGGAGTCAGTGTGTGAGGATGCAAGACTCATAAACACACACTCTGCATAAATGTACCTATTTGTGAAAGACTACAAAATTACTTATTCTGAACTATTTATACACTTCCAGTCGACAGTTTTGGATCGGTAAGATTTTTAATGCTTAAAAAAAAAAAAAAAAACAGCAATTATGTTAAATATTATGAAAATGACTGTATTCTATGTGAATATACAGTAAAGTGTAATTTATCAGTCTTCAGTGTCACATGATCCTTCAGAAATCACTCTAATATGAGGATCTGATGATCAACACACAGTTATGATTATTTCACAAAAGCTTTCGATGCTCCTCTTTTGAACTTTCCATTCATCAAAGAATATGTTAAAAAATAACTGTTTTCAACACTGCTAATAATCATAAATGTTTCTTGATCATCATATTAGGTGATTTGTGAAGGATCGTGTGACACTGAAGACTTTCACAGTTTTACTGTATTTTTGATCATGTTGTTAAAAGCATTACAAATGTTACCGATCCAAAACTCATGACTGGTAGTGAATCTAGTCAAATATCAGCTCTATTTCTAGAGGCGTCCGTTGAAGAATAATAGCAGAAGTGTTGAGTGTTGTCCGTGAGGCGATGATCAGCTGGTTCACCTTGTGTGGGCGTGAGAGAGCCGTCCAGGAGTGTGTCGTTGATGACTCGGATCAGCAGAGTCATGTCCTCGTGTTTGGCGCAGTGTGCCGCTCTCTGTCTGCCGCTCACGTACACGTCGTGATGAAGGCGCTTGACTCGCTCCACCACCGACTGAGCCGCCGCCTCCAGGGTGCCCTGCTGGGCCAACTCTGCAGCTACCATGGCAACCACCTCCTGCAGGGCATCATGGGAAATGTAGTTCAGGATATCAAATCTATGCCACTGTTTATGGAGCCTCAGAAATAGAGTTCGGATCGGCAGCTCTAATTTAAATTCATCATCACTTCAAAATTTTGACCAAAAAAAATTACGTTTTTTTTTTTTTAATTTTGTTTTTATTATAATTTTTTACTTGATCGAACTTGGTAAAGGTTTTGGCACTTGCATATTTGGAACACAGATTGTTTAGATTTATAGCTTTGATTTTCTTGCAGTTTTAGACTAAAATGTGTTTTTCAAAATATATGTTTTATTTCATATAAAAAATGTAAATAGTATTTTTGTGCGTTTTTTTTTTACTTTTTCCCTTCAGCAATAATCTGCAGTGTCGTCTTTAAAAAGACATCAGACTTACGCCTGTCGCTCTAAAGGCCATTGCACACCGAGTCCGAAATTTTCGTTCGAAAACACCGTTCAAACGGTTGCTACAGACGCGAAAAACGAAGAAAATTGAACTTTATAGATTGTTATATGACGGACGAGAGCCTCTGAGGCCGTGTGCAAGCGTGATTGACATAATGTGAGGTCGTATTTATTTTTTAACATGCGAAAATTTCAGATTCAGTGTAAAAGGGTCTTAAAGCATTCAAGATTTACGACAGTTAAAGTTGGAAATTTAGTTTTCAGGTTTATGCTCAAAAAGTGAATAAATGGATTTTAAATACAGTGTATATCTAATACAGCACTATAATATCCATACAAAATATTAAATATATAAACATTATCGAACTACAATATGGTACAATAATTTCATTGAAATTAAAAAAAAGAATTTCGGTCATATTTGATACTGTCGTGTAACTCTTTATTGGTGCGGGCGATCACCTGGTTGACCTGCTCGGGTCCGTGGGCCGACTCCAGCGCTTTAATGAGGCCCTCTGACATCAGCAGCAGGAACCCAGTCACGCCCTCCAGCGATTGGCCACCGTGGATCTCCGGCTCGGAGATGATTGGCTTATGCTTTGCTGCACTGAGGACACATGACCAAAACAGGACCATTTAGTCTGTGCATTAATTAGGGCTGTGAAACGAATCATCACCGTTAATCGCATCCAAAAAAGTTTGTGTTAACATAATACATATCTGTGTATAATTATTTTGTGTATATATAAACACACACACACACACATGCATATACATAATTAAGAAATATTTGCATGTATATACTGTTTATATATAACTCAGATTATATATATATTTGATATATAACTAACAAATTTTTCTTAAATATGTATATGTAAGTGTGTGTATTTATATACTATACAAAAAATAATTACACACAGATATATATTACGTAAACAAAACATTTTTGAAGCGATGAATCGTGATGAATCGTTTGACATTCATACTTTTAAAAAGAAAAACATCTTGGGCATTAAAATTGGGAATTTTTTCCATTTCATCTTCTTGTTTTACCAGTTTTCATAACGTATGAAATGCAAGTGTGTTAATGTACATGATAAATATGAGTACAAATAAATATGAGTTGATTTGTGCGATAATTCTGATGAAAGGCAAACAGAAATTTCTTAAATGACAACCAATGTGTGATCAGTAATCGCAATTATAATGGTGAGAAATGACTAAATGTGACTAAAATATGAATATATTACGGTTTTATTTGACCAAGATGAGACTAAAAGAACTTGGATGACTAAATATGATAAAAACAAATAATAAGGACATTTGACCAGAACTCTTATTAGCATTTATAGCATTTAATAAATTATGCGATAGTTTTGTGTGATTATCTGTATTAAGTTTTATTATGTGTATTATTGTTCAACAGCTGTCATCATTATAAAGTGACATTGACAGGCAGGGGCTCTGTGTCATGTTCACGTCTTTGTTGGTGTGTGAGACACTGATGCGGGATCTCCAGGTGACACACACCTCAGCACGTCGATGTCTGTGTAGTTGAACTTGACTTTGTAGTCTCCGATGCGTCGAGTGCTGCTCTGACCCGAGATCAGTCCGGTCTGCCTCAAGCGCACCGGATCCAGGCCTGAGTTTAACCAAAGTGTGTGTGTGTGTTACTAACTTCACATGAACACCCTAAAGCATCACATCAACTCCGACGACGCCTTTAAGACACACGCCGATTACAATCAGCAACAACACGAATCACTAATAAAGACAGTTGCAGCATGAGCGTATGGAGGTGTGTGTGTGTGTGTGTGTGTGTGTGTGTGCTGACCCAGCTGGGCGAGTCTGGTCAGCTCATCATCGTTGTCGGTTGTGTGCGCTTGGCCGATCTGGATCACCTGGTTCTGACCGTCACTGGTGGTTTTACAGAGAAGAGCCCGATTGGTTCCTGAAACACACACACACACACACACACACTGATCATCATCACATCTGCAGAAACCAAGAACTACACAATCCAACAGGTGAAAGATTTGTGTGTGAGTGTGTGTTTGTGTGAGAGAGTTTGTGTGGGTGAGTGTGATTGTGTGAGTGCGAGTGTGTGTATGTGTGTGTGTGTGTGTGTGTTGCACATACCGACGTTAGCGATGTAGAGTTTATTATTGTGTATCAGAGCGACTATCGCTGTGGCTCCTCCTGAAACCTCCTGCTCTAAAGCCTTCAGTCGCTCGGCCATCTTCTGCGTCTGAGGGGAGAGATACACACCCTGACACACACACACACACACACTCATCACTAGTGCAACAGTAAAAAGACGCACTCAAACAGTGTCGCGCGGGTTCCCAACGGTGTTTAAGCGACACACATCCGTATTGTGGAATATTAATGATTGATATGATGTGCTGTGAGTTTCTCGTGTGTGTGTGTGTGTGTGTGTGTGTGTGTGTGCTCACCTCAGGAAGCTGTGTCTGGAGATTAGCCTTCTCAGCGAGAGCGTCGTCAATCGTCTCAAAGTAGCTCTTCTCTACGACATCGAACGCCTGAGGGTTGAAGAGACACCGATCATCCACGTGACTGAGAACTAAACATTAAATAATAATGCGAAACGCCTCGATATCTGACGGACTGCAGATTCATTATGTGTGGAGAGATTGCTTTATCAATAAAATTAAACACTAATTTCACATATATTGTCTTTCAATAATTCAAATGGTTTACAAGTCTGTTTACAAGGGTGACCTGTCACTCACAGGAGATCAGCCAATAGAGAGCCTAAGTCCCGCCCCTCCGCTTCCGGCTCATGGGACCTTATTTCGGAAAAAATATGAATGGTAGTCAATGGCGAGAGACAACTTATCTTTTATCTGCCCTCAATTACACATATGATGTTTGTCAATTTAAAAGATAATTCTGAAAGTCAAAAACGTCGCAGTTTGTCATAAAACAGAAGAGTAACATTTAGTTTTATGTGATAATCGCTCTATGAACTACATTTCCCAGGAAGCGAAACAACGAGTGAGATCCGCTGCTCGTGTGTGTGCAGTCTGGGACAAAACACTCGGGTATGACGGCGTAACGTTACGATTATAACGTAAGACTGTAGAAACAACGACAGACGTTAGCCTCAGCAAAGTTAGCTTCATTCATTGGGAGAAAATGTGCGCCTTTGGGGTTTGTAGTCTTTGTAATTACGTATTTTCACAGTCTTATACCTCAACGGTTTTACATCAAACTGCGACTTTCTTTACTTTAAAATGTATCTTTTAAATTGACAAACATCATATGTGTAATTCAGGGCACAATTCAAACCAGATCAAAATATTTGTCGTCTCTCGCCATTGACTACCATTCAATATTTTTCCGAAATAAGGTCCCATGGTGGTCGACCGGAAGGGGAGGGACTTAGGCTCTCTATAGCAAACCACAATCAACTCCCCACAGACACAATCAAGCCCCGCCCACATTTGTTCTTGTTCCTGAAGCGATTCAGTCGATATACGACACACTAGAGGAGAGAAGACCAGCGCAGCCCGCGTGTGACAGCCGTGGACGGGCCGGTACCTGTGAGAGGATTCTGCGCAGGTCCGAGTCGGTGTGACCGGCGCTCAGCTGACCCAGCAGGAGCTCGGCCGTCAGACACTGAGACACGAAACTGGACACGCGGCTGCCGTCGTACCCGTTAAACACCCCGTACAGGAAGCAGAACTCCGTGCTGAGGAGGAAACAGGACGTGACATCAGGTAACACTGAGCATGACTCCGCCCCTCTGGTGCTCTTCGGTCACAAACAACCGAGATTATTTAAATGAATGTACTATATTTTAGTTTGAAAAAGTTTTTAATTTAATCAGTTGTATTATATGGCACCACTGAATTATATTCACGCTGTATTTATAATCCACTTTTTGAGCTTAGACCTTAAAAATTACATTTCCATATTAAACTGTGGAAGTGAAAAAGTTGCATTTTTAATTTATTGTTTTGAAAAATAAGCAAAAAATACTATTTTACATTTTTATATGAAAATACATATTTTCAAAAACGAGTTTTACTCTAAAACTGTGAGAAAATCAAAGCCATAAATCTAATCAAATCTAATCTGTGTGTGTGTTTGTGTTTGTTCACAAAGCAAGTGCCAAAACCTTTACCGAGATACGTACCATTTTTCGAGGAGCACCAGAGGTTATGATATTTGTGTGTGTGTTCTGTTCACCTGAAGCGCAAGTGTCCGTCTTCATTCGGGTGGCTCTGGGTCCCCTTCCCGTCGGGCCCGTATGTGCAGTTCGGGGCCGACCCGACGCCACACAGCTGACAGAGAGGAAGATCATCGGTCCAGCTCTGATGCTGCAATCACAAACACACACACATCTGATCCGTCACACACAACACAGAAGTCTGTCATATCGGATACATAAAATCATAAAGTGTGCTTGGGACATTGATTTTAATGGTGAGACTTTTGCTTTTAATCAGGCTTTCAAAAATTACATAAAAATTTAGATTTAGATGTATCTGCCAATATACCAGTTATCAGCTTTCAGAATAAAAAAGTATCAATATAAAAACATTAATATAAGGAATAATAATATTTTCATATCGCACAGGGTCCGTGTTATTCTTACTATAGTATTAATAGTAAATTATGCGTGGTGGTTACAATAATCTAGCCATATATTAAGTTCATGTTGTTAATTAATATTACTCAGCACCTATCTGTGTAATTATGCTGTAACAATGACACCTTATAATAATATCTATATATTTAAATATTGTCTCTAAACATTCTTAAATTAAGATAAATCTACTTGGAAATCTTGTTAATGAATAAAACAGTGAAGTTCGTTGGAACAAACTGTGATGTTGGACTGACAAAGTCGTACGAAAGTTTGAATTTAGTGGAAAGAGACAGAAAGACATTGCTAGCATGTTTGAACATGTTGCTAACATTAATTTATAGTGTGCCTTTAACTATAACAATATCTACTAGTGGACTCAATTCAAAAATAAACTCAATTCAAAGGGAAAACGAGATGATTTTTCTGACAGCACATATTTGATCATATTTTAAGCACAAACTCACTTCACTTTTCAGAAAACAAGATTTATTATCTTAAGTAAAAATATCTTCTTGTAAGAATGATTCGATATTTGTGCAGAAAAACAAGAACTTTTAGACCTTCAGGCAGGATTTTATATAAACATTTCTTTTGTAAACATTGGGTTAGGTCCAGAGACTGTCAGTTATTGTGCTAGAGTGTTTAATATTACACGATAAAGTAATACTTCAGTCCATTGAGAAGAGTAAACATCGGAATTAATGCAGTAATGTCAGAGATGTACAGTAGACTGCCGAAGCTCAACACACTGAATAAGACACTAAAACTCAAGATTAATTCACTTATGGCACTTTTAATACGCGTGTGTGTTGAATCTATAGACCATCCGAAAGTAAACGAGTTATAATGAGTGTTGGTGATTAAAGAAAAGGACTTTCTTACGCTTTGCATCAGACTCCTGCGCTGGGCCGCCATCTTGACCGGAAGTGAGTGCGCGTCAGATCTACAGCTCATCTGTGCGCATGCGCGCCTCAGCATTATACCAACTGCATGACTTGGAGATCTGTCCGGGTCCTCTTCTTTTTTCTTTCTTTCTTTCTTTCTTTCTTTCTTTCTTTCTTTCTTTCTTTCTTTCTTTCTTTCTTTCTTTCTTTCTCTTTTAAATAACGCTCTAGAAAAAAATCGAAAATATCACGTAAAAATGAAAACGATCACATACGAAGTGAAGTCATAACTTTTTACTTTTTATGTCATAGTTATAAATTAAAAAGTCAAAAGTATGACAAAAAGTCTCAATCATGGCACACTAAGGCATCATTATTCAATTAAAAAAGTCGAAACATGGAGATAAACTAACAATTATGACTTTCTATAACTGTGACGTTTCGAGTCATCATTTAAACTTTATTTAATGATTATGACTTTTAAATCGAAATTTCAACATTCCAACTATAATTATGACTTAGTATGTTACAATATCGAATTTTCTTATAAATATTATAATAATAACTAAAACGTTTCAGAAAAAAACACTCCATGAACGATGTCTAAATACTGTTTTTGTGCTAACGTTTTGAGAACATTATTAGATAACTGTGAACGAACATTCTTTCCTCAGAGTGAGCTTCTTATCTACTGCTAACATTTAAATGGCTCGATGGATTTATTCCTTTGTTGCTTGGTTTGTATTTCATAAATCATTAGACATAATTAATTAAACAAAGCACAGATTTCTGCATATTCTGACTCATCACCATACAGTGAGCCTGGTTAATCTTTTAACAGCACTTGTGTTAAATAGCTGTGGTTTAAACGAGTTCGCTCACAGTTGATAACTTCTTATATAAAAATAATGAAGGAATTAAGTTATTTTTGGCAGCGTGTGTGTGTGTGTGAGAAGCATGGCCTCTAGTGGTGGATAAAACCGTTACGTTAACGTCCGGGTGACGTATGTATCTGACGTCATGCCGTTCAGCCAATCGCATTGCTCAGATTACTAGCGTAAAGCGGTTAGTCCAATAGAAGTGCTTGATTTCAGTTGCTGAGCAACGCTTTGGGTTCAGGTTGCCGAGGCGGAAGGAAGAAACAGATGCACGATAACATACACACATTCATCTTTATGTTGTGATCAATTAATTATTAGTCATTTCTGCATAATGGTGAAATTAAGAGCGAAATGTGTTGTCGTGGGTAAGAACGCGGATGTTTATGCGCATGCAGATTATGATATAATAATATAACGTCATATTTCACGTTAAACAGCACACATGCTCACAGGTGTGTGTGTGTGTGTGTGTGTGTGTTCAGGAGATGCTGCTGTAGGGAAGAGCACACTTTGTCAGATGTTTCGCAGTGATGGTGCTGTCTTTCAGAAAAACTACACTATGGTAAGAACACACACACATACGGAGGCGTACTGCATTCACTTGAAGAAAAAAAAATCTACTCTGTTTTTCTGAATTAACGAGTTAATTTTTCATGAGAAAAAAAATATTTTGCTCTGTTTTTCTGAATTAATGAGTTAATTTTTCATGGATTTTTTTTTTGCTCTGTTTTTCTGAATTAACGAGTTAATTCAGAAAAAACAGCAAAAACTTTTTTTCTCACGAAAAATTAACTCATTAATTCAGAAAAACAGAGAAAAACTTTTTTTCTCATGAAAAATTAACTCATTAATTCAGAAAAACAGAGTAGATTTTTTTTCTTCAAGTGAATGCAATACGCCTCCGCCCTCCGTACACACACACACACCGATGAATAAATATACATTTCAATGAGTCAATTTAATGATTGATTGATTTGGTCTGATCTGTGTGTTTTGCAGAATGTTGGTGTGGAGCTTCTGGAGAAATCAGTGTCTATTCCAGACACCAGTGATACTGTGGTACACACACACACATACACACACACTACAGGCACACACACACTCTTCTTACCGTATCATCGATTGATTGGTGTGTTTTCAGGAGTTCTTCATCTTTGACTCAGCGGGGCGGGAGCCGTTTGCAGACGCCTGTGAGAACATGGTGAGTTAAACACAACAACTCCAACACACTCCGTGTGTGTGTGTGTGTGGAAGCAGCCATCGGTGATGATGATGATGTGTGTGTGTGTGTGTGTCAGTGGAAGCAGCCGTCGGTGGTGTGTGTGGTGTTTGACATCAGCAGTGAGGTCTCGTTCACCAGCAGCGGCCGCTGGATCGACAGGCTCCGATCGCACTGTGACGGCCTGCATGTGCCAGGTCAGAGGTCACACACACACACACTCACACTCTGCTCTTTCTGACAGTTTAATATCAAAATTACAACCTGTGCATATTTCAGAGAAATAAATAACTAAAGCTGTCAGAAACTGTCTCTATATTTGAATGTTTTATTCAAGTAATGAATAAAACGATGATGACATCACTTCCTGTCGGCCGGTACGATTCGCAACCTCCCCGCTAGATGCGCTAAACATTACACAGTGCAGCTTTAAAACAGAGATAAGAAAGCATTGGATTCTGGGAAACAGTGCTTCAGCAAGTGTACATCGACTGTACACTCGAATTCAGAGAGGATTGTGGGTATAAAGTAGGGAATGATGTCGTTCACTCAGAATTCGGACACCACTGCAAGATGGCCGACGCCCGATCTAGTGCACTATGTAGTGTCACACACACAGAACACTGCTAACACACTGATGATGTTTGTGCTGCTGTTTTCCCTCACAGTGATGTCATTTGCTGCAGGATGATGTCATCCACTGGCTAACGGGATGACGCGTGTGTGTGTGTGTGTGTGTGATCAGGTGTGCTGGTGGGTAATAAGAGTGACCTGTCGGTCAGGAGAGAGGTGGACGGTGCCGAGGCTCGAGCGTGGGCTCAGACTCACGGGCTGGAGTATCACGAGACGTGTGCTGTGAGTCTTCATCCTCTTCATCATCGTCATCTTCATCACCTTCATCACTGAGTCTCTCTGTGTGTGTGTGTGTGTGTGTGTGTGTGTGTTGTTCTGCAGAGGGAGATCGGACAGTTTGAAGCCCCGTTCCTGAGTTTGGCTCGAGCGTTTCACTCACTGTACCAGGATCAGAAGCAGATCATCCAGAGTCTCCTTTGAGCAGCAGCTTCTCTGTGTGTGTGTGTGTGTGTGTGATAGTGAAAACACTAGTGTGTGTGTAAGGGAAAAACACTAGTATGTGTGATAGTAAAAACACAAGTGTGTGTATCTGAAAACACTAGTGTGTGTGTGATAGTGAAAACACAAGTGTGTGTGAAAACACTATGGCGTGCATGTTAGTGAAAACACCAGTGTGTGTGTGTGTGTGTGTGTGTGAAACACTAGTGTTGTTCCTAGAGTTTGTCCTCAGAGTTTTGAGCACATTTTAATAAACATCTTTCCTCTTAAATATGTGGCAAATATGTTCTATATGTGAGTGTGTGTGTGTTTGTGAGTGAGAGTGTGATAGTGTGTGTGTCTGTAAATGTCTGAATGAGTGAGTGTGTGAGAGAAAAAGTGTGTCTGTGAGTGTGTGTATATAAAAATGAATGACTATAGTATATAATCTCTTCTTATTATTCTTATTCTTTTAATAGTATACAATATACATAATTTATAATAATATAATTTAAAATATTATTTTAAAAGTATATAATAAATACATGTACACACACACAGTGTCATTATCTAGAGGCCAGTAAAGCCCTCAGATGAGTGACAACAATGTCCAGTGTTTCCCGAGGCAGGAAATCAACATTACACACACACACACACACCAAACCTCTGCTGTGACTCTTCAAATGATGAAGACGTTATAAATATAATAATAACCTGTTTCGTACGGTGGCCGAGAGGTGCGAAACAAATCACAATTATGAAAACAAAAAAACAAGTCAGAAAACACAACGACAAATCAGAAAACAAAATAACAATTCAGAAAACACAAAAACAAATCTGAAAACAAATTAACAAGTCAGAAAACACAACGACAAATCTGAAAAATCTGACGAGACATCTGTTGTGTTTTCTGAATTGTCGTTGTGTTTTCTGACTTGTTTTTTTGTTTTCATAATTGTGATTTGTTTCGCACCTCTCGGCCACCGTAGTTTCGTCATTATTGAAGGATTCCTAATGTTGTATGCTTTGTATACTTACATACTGTTGTTTTCATTTGCAATAAAAAAAAAATAAAAAAAAGTGAGTGTTGATGATGAGGACTGTGTGCTGATACTTACGAACTAATACAGATGACAAAATCCCACAGACGTACATCATGATCTCTGATGCTGAATGATTATTGATATATGCCACACACACACGCACGCGCGCGCTGTGTGTTCGTCTGACGGCCAGCAGAGGGAGTGAGAGTTTGATCTTGGTGTCCATCTTCAAACCGGACATGAAAACCTCCGGAAGCTTTACAGAGAACACAATCTAGCATTACACAGACAGCCGGAGAGGTCTAGTCTGCGATGGCGATTATTTTTTCTGCTGGTTAAAAGTCTCTTCACATCCTGAGAGCAATGATGTGTTCAGGCTCTCCTAGAACAGGTTTTCCTGCTTGAATGTTGATTATTCTCCTCATATTCTCCATTGTTGCGGCTCCTCTCTTCCCAGTCTGTCAGTAACACTCTGTTTACTTCCTGTCTCTATGAAGCCCCTCCTCCTGAGAAGCACACTGTGCTCTGATTGGTCGGCTGGAGTGGTGTGTTGTGATTGGTCGAGTGTGTTTGGGAAATGCCCCGCCCCTTGCCTTAACCGCCACTACTAACTAACTCAACCAGGCCCCGCCCCTTTATTCAGCGCATTAATTATTATAATGAGGAATATTGTGACGTGTTCGTTCCCGGAAGAAACTCAAGATACAATGGAGGCGTTTCAGGAGTTCAGGGAGAACACACACATCAACATCACACACTGAAGAGATGAATATCTTTAAATGCAAATGAGTCCACATGAATCCGGCTGTTATTATCCATCATGATTTTATTGGCTTCTGTTTTGCTCTTTTGTTTTTTTTTTTAGTCTTCTTGAATCAAGAAGTCAATTATGTGTGGTTTATTAACAGATGTTCATATATTCATGTATGCATCTTTCATATATATATATATAAGTATATATATATATAGTAGTCATTTATCATTAAGTTTGTAGTGTCATATAAATGGCGCCGGTCCGTGGGCTTGTTTCTGTTCCCTGCAGTCTCCGCGCCACGAAGCTTCACAGTATTTATGTGCAACAAAATGAACATGAAGAAAAGAGATATCACGAGCTCGAGTCTCGTCGGCTCTCTCGTCACATGGTCGAAAACTTGTTAGTTTATGTAAGATAAGAAAATCATGCATTTCATTTTTCTTTTTTTTTTCTTTTTGGACTTCAACATGTAAACTCGTCATCATTAGTGTTATAAATCAGTCCGTCTGTTTGCGGAGCCGCCGCTCGCTTTAGGCAGTGTTGGGGAGGTTACTTTAAAAAGTAATGCATTACAATATTGCGTTACTTAGTTACTTTTTAAGAACAGTAATGTGTTACGTTGCTTTTTCTCACCTGGACTGTGCAGAAAATAATGCAAATTCACACACGTTTGCGCAAACAAACCTTTCATTCCAGATCACGGATGAATGTAATGCAGGAGACGAAAGTTTAACACTTACTTTACTAATAAAAACAAAAACTTATTGTTTAACTGAATCATTGAAAATCAGCATTTGGTCAATAAAGTGAGAATAAATGCATAAAAATTAGGGCTGGGTAACAATTAATTGCATCCAAAATAAAAGTTTGTGTTTACATAATATAAGTGTGTGTAGTGTGTATAATTATTTTATATTTATGTAAATACACACACATGCATGCATATATTTAAGAAATATTTGCATGCATATACTTAAAATATACTTATACATAATTAATATTATATATAAATATAAATATTTGATATATTAATAACACATTTTTCTTAAATATATACATGCATGTATGTGTGTGTGTATTTATATATACAAAAAAGGGTAATTATAGACACTACACACACTTATATTTTTGTAAACACAAACTTTTATTTTGGATGCAATTAATCGCGAATAATCGTTGCCCAGCCCTTATAAAAATGTATGTTTTATTTAACATATTTAATTATTGGAGGTTTGCATATTATTCGAATTTTGCATTTCAAAGATTTTATTCATCTTGAGGAACCTTTTCTGCGCAAGTGAGATGAGTAAAAGCACACACACACACACACACGCGCGCGCGCCTCTGCACTTCTACATCTCTCAACATGAGGAGCGGACAGCCAATGAATGTGGAAAAGCAATGTGCGTTACTTACTTTAAAAAGTAACTCAGACATTTAGCTGTAAGTTTAAGAGTAATGCGTTACTGTACTAGCTCAGGGTTCGTACCGAGGCTGTAAACAGAAATGCCAGGACTTTTCAAACACTACTTTTTTGGGTTTTCAAGAACTACAATCAGAGATCGCACTTATCAAACAATATCTTTAGGATTTTTTCACAGATATCAGAGGTTTTCAAAGGTTTTCCACAACTTAAATTTAAAAAAGTCAAGTACTTTAAGCACCGTGTACGAACCCTGCTAGTTACATGAAAAAAGTAATCTGATTACGTAACTCGGGTTACTTGAGAGGAGTCACGCCCCAACACTGCCCGCAGGGGGCGCTCATACAGGCGTGGTGCGCCGGTCCTTCGCGTCCTTCGGGATGCAGTTGTGGACCTGAAGGAAATCCGCTTCTCTGTCGGAGTTGTACATCGGAGGCGTCCCGTGAGGAGTCTTCGTTTCGCCGCGCCCGAGTGTGTACATGGAGATGTCGGTGGACGGTAACGGGCCGAACCCCTTCAGGCCCACCGGCGAAGCGTCCCGCGAGTGCGACGGGTCGGTGGAGCGGCTGGACGAGCGCGAGCGGCGCCGGTAACGGTACCGATAGCTCGGGATCCTCGTGATGGCGGATCCCTGAAGATATTCCCCGACGTCCACGCGCACTCGCGCCACGCGCAACTCCCGGTGCCGGTCGATGAACATGTGGACGGCCAGAACGCCCACCATCTCCGCCATGATGAAGGAAAGGGCGCCGAAATAAAAACTCCAGCCGTACGAGTAGCTGTTCTTCTTCGAGTCGCTCTTGGACGGGTCTCCGGCGTTGGCTGATATGTATACGATTATCCCGATGATGTTGCTCAGACCTGAGGACCCACATGGAACAAACATTTGCTAAGAACATGTTAAAGTTCCTCTGTAATTTATCGTTTTATAAAATAAAACTCATTTTGATCGCAAAATGGCATATTTAAAAGTGTTCACCTTGAGAATAAATCATCATGCCTTACAATAGCTGGAGTGTAACTCGACACCGTTGCTTCATTTAGTATAATATGCAAATTAGGTTAGAAAAATATGCCTTTATAAAGGTAAAAATGCCTATAAAAGTTAAAGCCCCTCTTGTGGTAAAAAAACTAACGTTTTTAATGTTGTTTGTGTGTGTGTGTGGTGTGTTTAATCCGCTTTAACACACACCGTGTGTAAGTTGATAAGAGTATTTCCTCCTTAAAACTGCAGTGAACCAAAGACAGTCTCAAAAACACGCTGGTGTTTCTGACGTCACAAACTCAGATCAACGTGTGATCGTCAACCAGTGGATCTCTGAGGGAGGGAGTGGAGGCGGGGCTCATTTGCATATTTATAGAACTGTACATACTAAATGAGGCAAGGATGTCGAGTTACATTCAAGATATTTTAAGGCATGAATAATTTTTTTTTTAAGGAGAAAACATTTAAAAGTGTCATTTTGGTGATCAAAGATGAGTTTTAAGGGATGAAATGATCGACTACAGTGACATCATCTCATTCTTCACACATTATGGAACGCTACTTTTGAATGTTCTCTGAACTTTCTGAAACAAACATTCCATGAACAAAATTTGAATGATGTTTTTGTGGTAATGTTTAGAGAACATTATTAACGGCCAGATAACTCAATGAACATTAAAGTAATGTTACTGGAAGAGCGTTTGTTAATAACTTTGAGAAAACCTTGACAGAACGTGAAGTAGGGGATAACGTACATCCAGCCGGTCGTTATATCAGAATAAACCCGACGGGGAGATCAGGACTACCATCAGCCTGACACACACACACACACACACACACACACTCACCTGCAGATACAAAGAAGATCCCTGCGCTGAGGATGATGTTGTGTCGGGACTTGTAGAACTCGCTGGCGGCGACACAGAGTCCACCAATGAACAGCAGGATCACACTGAGGATGGGGAAAATACTGGAGGCTCGGACCGCACCTGCCCACACACACACACACACACACACTGGTTCGCTATCTTTGTGGGAAATCTCAAAAGACGTAATGGTTTTGATACTACAAACCTATTCATCACACACACACACACACACCCGACCCCTAAACTTATTCATCACACACACACACACACACACTAACCTGACCCCTAAACCTACTCATCACACACACACACACATACACACTGCTGAACGCTTTGAACGGCAATCATGACCTTCATCACTACATCTGATTGGCACACACACACATCAGTTCAGATCTCCACTTCCTCTGTCTCAGTTCCTTCATCATCACACACACACACACACACACACACACACCAATCTGTCCATCTCACACTGCAGTGTTAATTATTCATGTGTCCTTCCCTCAACTCTGACCTCTAATCAAGAGATGTATAGTGTGTGTGTGTGTGTGTGTGTAACTGCTGCCAGAAACCACAGGATTGATTGACTGATGACATCACAGCATGAGGTCACCACTTCCTTTCCAGTGCCATGACATCACTCATTGATCTGTGTGTTTCACAACCGACATATATCTGACCGATAGTGTAAAAAGTTCGTTAAAATCAGTGTGTGTTGCGTTCTACAACTGTGTTTCACCCTGTGTTGCGTGCGGATGGAGAGATGAGGACGGACGAGTGCGGGGCATTTCAGAGTTTTGACCCATATAAACTGCAGTGAAATATTTATAGAAATAAGTGACCTAATTAAACACTTAAAAGAGCAGCAGCAGCTCTGAGCAGCAAACCATTATCCTCTCTCTCTCTCTCTCGCACACTCTTCATCATACACACACACACACACGTTTGACTTACGCAGGAAATACTCTGATGCGTCGGCTTGATAGTCCGCGTCTTCAGGAAAGTGGTCGATCTGTTTACACATGCCTTTAAAATTCCCTGAGAAACACAGAGAGACAGTCTGACATCAATATACAGCAAGCAGTGATGATTTCAGCTTCTGTCAGTGTGTGTGTGTGTGTGTGTGTGTGTGTGTGTTAAAATAAACATCGTGATTAATGGCCGATTTCTCAGTAAAGAATCAGAGAAGACCTTGTTACCATGGAAACATAATTTATGATTAGTTATTCTGAATGACGTCACTGAGTCGAATGATACACACACACACACACACTACTGTTCAAAAGTTTGAGGTCTGTAAGATTTTTTTATTAATATTTATTCTGCTAGGATGCATTAAATTGATCAAAAGTGACAATACAGACATTTATAATGTTACAAAAGATTCTATTTCAAATAAATGCTGTTCTTTTGAACTTTCTGTTCATCAAAGAATCCTGAAAAATAAAATGCATGACGGTTTCCACAGAAATATGAACTGTGTGCAACACTGATAATAATCATAACTGTGTGTTGATCATCAGATCCTCATATTAGAGTGATTTCTGAAGGATCATGTGACACTGAAGACTGGAGTAATGATGCTGAAATACAACTCTTGCCTACTACAAATAATATTATAAGTATATTTTATACAATACTATATTTTAAGTTTTATATTTTATAAAATAATATATATTATTATTAAATATTTGGCTTGAACATCAGGCCTTCAGCCCCACATGTTGAAGGTTGTTGGTTTGTGAGGGCTGAACCCGCAGCTGACCTCTAACCCCTGACCTCTGTCACATGATCTCTCTTCCCCTGTAGGATAAATGCAGTTCTCTGTACTCTCTCTCTCTCTCTCTCTCTCTCTCTCTCTCTCGGTTTTGCTGCTGTATGCATGTATGTTGCATAACTGCATTACATAATTCACTGTTCTCCACACGTGAGTGTGTGTGAGTGAGTTTAAGTGATTAGGAGCATGTCTGACAGGATTACCCTTATTCCAATGATCTCTCAGATCAAACACACACACACACACACACACTCACGTCCCTAATATCTGTAGGATGAAGCGGCATTTATGCCTCAGTCCTGATGACATCATCATCCGAAGCACAAACACACTGTCAACATTCCCAGCAGATGTGAGGAATCACACACACTGAGACAGACGCACGGGCATTACACACCCGCTGAAAGGTGACGAGACACACACACACACACACACACACACAAACTGGCCCTGTGTGTGTCATCACCTTGAGTGAAATGTTCTCAGTGGAGCTGGAAACATCTCAATACCCGTCTGTCTGTCTGTCTGTCTGTCTATCTGTCAGCAGCACTGTCTCAGTGTATGGGATCTCATTCTGATATAAACAGCCACACTGCATCATCACCTGTCTCTATGCATCATTATCTCCTGTCTCACTGCATCATCTCCTGTCTCACTGCATCATCTCCTGTCTCACTGCATCATCACCTGTCTCACTGCATCATCTCCTGTCTCACTGCATCATCACCTGTCTCTATGGATCATTATCTCCTGTCTCACTGCATCATCACCTGTCTCTATGGATCATTATCTCCTGTCTCACTGCATCATCTCCTGTCTCACTGCATCATCTCCTGTCTCACTGCATCATCTCCTGTCTCACTGCATCATCACCTGTCTCACTGCATCATCTCCTGTCTCACTGCATCATCTCCTGTCTCACTGCATCATCTCCTGTCTCACTGCATCATCACCTGTCTCACTGCATCATCACCTGTCTCTATGCATCATCATCTCCTGTCTCACTGCACAATCACCTGTCTCACTGCATCATCTCCTGTCTCACTGCACAATCACCTGTCTCACTGCATCATCTCCTGTCTCACTGCATCATCTCCTGTCTCTATGCAATATTATCTCCTGTCTCACTGCATCATCTCCTGTCTCACTGCATCATCACCTGTCTCTATGCATCATCATCTCCTGTCTCACTGCACAATCACCTGTCTCACTGCATCATCTCCTGTCTCACTGCACAATCACCTGTCTCACTGCATCATCTCCTGTCTAACTGCACAATCACCTGTCTCACTGCATCATCTCCTGTCTCACTGCATCATCTCCTGTCTCACTGCATAATCACCTGTCTCACTGCATCATCACCTGTCTCACTGCATCATCTCCTGTCTCACTGCATCATCTTCTGTCTCACTGCATCATCACCCGTCTCTCTGCATCATCATCACCTGTCTCACTGCATCATCTCCTGTCTCACTGCATCATCATCACCTGTCTCACTGCATCATCTCCTGTCTCACTGCATCATCATCACCTGTCTCACTGCATCATCTTCTGTCTCACTGCATCATCTCCTGTCTCACTGCATCATCATCTCCTGTCTCACTGCATCATCTCCTGTCTAACTGCATCATCATCTCCTGTCTCACTGCATCATCTCCTGTCTAACTGCATCATCATCTCCTGTCTCACTGCATCATCACCTGTATTACTGCATCATCTCCTGTCTCACTGCATCATCACCTGTCTCACTGCATCATCTCCTGTCTCACTGCATCATCTCCTGTCTCACTGCATCATCATCTCCTGTCTCACTGCATCATCCCCTGTCTCACTCTTCTGCCAGCCCAGATGTAAAGTCTAACCTTGATTGATTGACTGTAATAACTGCGTGAGAGTCTGAAGGGAATCACACACACACACACACACATTGATTGAATCGTCTTGTATCTGGTAAGTGAGTGTGTGACACAGATCTGGAGCTCATTTTAATCTCCTCTCACTGGAGCAGAAGCGGTTTTACAGACCCAGAAACCGATCGAGTGAAGAGCTCAAGAGCTTCATGAAACTCGATTCAAGCATCCGCCACTCAGAGCGAGAAAGAATGAACGATCGCTTCATTTAAGGCAACGGTGCAGTGATAGCGCCGCAACCACAATAAATCCAGTAAAGTCGATAACCGATGATCACATCATCATCTTACAGCACTGAAGAACATATGAAATAACATACAAACCCTGCCTCAGCAAAATAGAACACAGTCATTTTGTTGTTGGACATTAAATTCTACATATGAGAGTATTTTTATGACAGCAGTAACTGTAACTTATAGAATATCAATGTAAGAAGAAATGATGAAGAAATTACAGTAGCAGAGGAGCGAATGTGCTTTCTTTTTAGTAAAATAGAGAATACATTTGCCTTTTTATCAGATTAATCAAAGAAATAAAGTGACAGTTTCGTCGATTACCAAAACAGGCCTAGACCCCCATCTGACTCATCTCATCTGAGGGGTCAGAGGTTAAAAGCATGATCCGCAAATCTCCAAGGAGAGATGAAACCATCCTGATCTCAGACCAGAGAGAAATCACAGGAGAGAGAGAGAGAGAGAGAGAGAGAGAGAGAGAGAGAGAGAGAGAGATTCACCTGACATCATAAGGAAGTGATTCTAATTGGTAAGATCCTGTTCTCCTTGATGCTGATTGGCTGATTCTCTCTCTTATGTATGCAAATATACAGTAAAAACAGTGAAATATTATTCTAATGTACATAAGCTGTTTCTAAGTGAATATAATCAATATATAGCTTACCGATTCACAAAATTAACGGAATGCATAGCTGATATAAAAACTGGATGACCAGTCATTTCCTGCTACTTATTTCTGAAAAAACAGAGATTCTAATTATTGGCCAAACTTCCTCGCGTAATAACCTAAACATCTGTCTAACACACTGCTGTGTGTGTGTGTGTGTGTGCTCTTTGATACCAATCTTTTATTTGAATTTATTTGAACTTTTATTTGAATTTTATTTGGGTCTGACTCTGCGGGGTGCTGGGGGGGGGGGGGCTTGGAATGAGGGTGTTTCATTAATAATATTATTATTAGTGTTTTTGTTGTTATTAATTGCTGAGACTTGCTGAAAATGTTTGACACATGAGACTGACAATTCAACCAAATACAAAGTATTTATTCAATTTCAGAGAGAGAGAGAGAGAGAGAGAGAGAGAGAGAGAGAGAGAGAGAGATCATGACTGGTGTTGTGAACGCGAAACTTTTGGAAGAGGTGTTAATGTTGCAGAATCACGTGAACAATTCCAGGAAATGCTTTCTTTTTATTGGTTGTTGCGTTAAATCTTACCCAGAGACAATAGTGCTATTTTCTGATTGGCTAGCCTTTGTGTAGCCCTTCCTTTTTTGATTGGCTGATAAGTGACAGTCTGGGGAGACGCGAGCGCTTGATTCCTGTGAGAGTGGCGCGGCCAGAGACGATTTGGGCGCTGCGGCATATTAAATATATTATAAATAGTTTTTCTGCATGAGAAATACAATGTGTGGCGGGAGTGCGTGCCAAAAGACCGAACGCTTGAGAGCCCTGTCAATGTTAGGCTGGAACCGGGAACACTTCACATAACACCCGACGTACTCGCGTCGCTACATCAGAAGAAGAATGGCATCTATGCTAATGCTAGTCTTTCTGTTTAATCCGAGGTTTACTGAAGTCAGCCGGACCCGGGCCGTATCCGGATCAGACGGTGGACCTGCGCCTGCACACGTCCACATCACATCCCTCAGCGCTGTAAAGGCAAGATTGTGATCTGATCTGACCTCTGACTTGTAATGCTTATATAATCATAATCATACACTGTTCACTCGTTGGCCAGGAGAAGTGAGCAACTGGTTTCTCACAAGGGTTTCTCCATTCTGTCACTGATCATTACTGGTTCCCGTCGCCTTTGTCGCCTTAGTCTTTTGTCTTGCTTTGTTGGGGACATTTAATATTCAACAATATTATTACAACATTATTTTCCTGTTATCTCTGTAATGCTGTTTTGAAACAATCTGTATTGTAAAAAGTGCTATATAAAGGACAGTAAAGTATAATTTATTCCTGTATTTTCAGCATCATTACTCCAGTCTTCAGTGTCACATGACCCTTCAGAAATCTCTCTAATATGATGATCAAGAAACATTTATGATTATTATCAGTGTTGAAAACAGTCATATATCCGTGGAAATTGTTGATGCATTTAATTAATAGAAGTAGTTTAAGTATCACTTCAGGTCCTACACACTGAAACACTTCCGACATTAATCACGTTCATCCAGATCAAATATAAAGTCGTCAATCTAATCACATCCCTGCAGTCACAAACTATAAACTCATAAACTCTGTCCAACTGCAACTCAAAAGAACAAAACCCTAATGCACACCAATCAACATAAATAACCATCTGACCAATATCAAAGCAAACCTCAAGGGAATATTGATGCAGAGACACATTTACTGTACGTGTGTAGTTCATAATCTGCGCTTCCAGAATCATAGTTTTTAATAAACACGTTTTTTTGTTTACATTTTGAGTTTTACTCCATGAATCAAGTCAGAAAGAACAACATGACATAATAAACTGAAAAAACAAACCAGTCCACACGAGACTCGCGGCTCAGTGAGGTCACAGAGGTCAGAGGTCACCGCTGACAGTCACATAACAGGCCATCAAACTTCCCTCAGGACACTCGAGCTCCAGAACATCGACTGACCCACACAAATGCTCAACATCATAATAAAAATGGTGCAGAACAAGGTTTTCTCAAAGTTATGAACAAACGTTCTTCCAGAAACATTCATTTAGTGTTTTCTGGACTTTAATAATGACCTCAAAATGGCAAAAACATTATTTATACATCGTTTTTAAATGTTTCAAAAGTAACGTTCCATAATGTTTGAAGAATGATTAAATGGAATGTTCCTTTCGCTTTTGTGTCCTCCTCGCTTCGGGAAACTGAACCCTATTGGACATTTGAAAAGGGGGAGGAGCCATTCAATATGCCCCGCCTTAGCTTCCTGTTTCAGCGCATCAAACAATCCAATGCACTTCAGTGGGACTTGAACGGATGTTACACACAGTTTCTGTTAGCTGGGAATATTTTACCATTTGGTTTGTTTCATTATTATGATCAGGGTTCATGTTAGGACACGGAAGACAAAGAGATCCCTCCCTGGAGAAAGAGCACATGCATGAGCTAACCTGAATTACTCCGTATAAACCCAGGAGTTACTCAGGATCCGTTTTGCACATTAAATCAAGAGTTATTTCGATTGTTACAGACATCACTAAATATAGGCTAAAACAATTAAAAGCTTTAAGATACTCAATAAACTGAATTTCAACCAGAAATGATGAATAAACTGAAGTCAGGCTTCACTGGATTCATCGATCAGGTCGAGATACGTCACATAAACTCACGTCTGTGTCCATGCTAACAGGAACAAGCAGAACTGTAGGATAAAAAGTCACAATTGCATTCCTTTAGCTTCAATATTCTTACATTATACTCTAAGGTACAGCCACAGTCCGTTCTGCTCAGAGTGTTTTCTGTGCAGTATTCATTGATATTTGAACTATAGCTAAAGCCTCACATCTGAACACAGCAGACTCTGATCCTGAGCCTGACGGACAGCTGTCAATCACACTGCAGATCAAACAGGAAGTGCTTCCTGAAGCTTGAATATACGGATGAACAATACAATAGGTGAAGTTTTGAAGAACATTACGCAGCTGAACTGAACCAGTTCATAAAAATATGACGAGGATCTTTGCACAGCTATGGAACTGATCTGAATTGTTCTGAATCGTCTGTTTATAGACATCATTTACTTGATTTGATTATTTTCCTGTTTATTGCTGTGAAGTTGCTTTGAAACACTCTATAAAGATAGAAATAAAGCTGAGACGACTATCTTCCTTATGAAGATTTTCCATGAACAATGACTTGAACCTGTTTGTCACACAAAACTATCACATGACTCCGCCACTCCGGAAGACTCCCGTTTCCGTAAAATTATGAAAACGTTATTTCTGAATGTTCTCAAAACGTCCAGTTTAAAAAAAAAAATGTTAATGCAACTTTCCATTGTTTCATTCTTCAAGCATTATGGGAACGTTACTTTTAAATGTTCTCTGAACGATGTATAAATCATGTTTTTGTGCTTATGTTTTGAGAACATTACCGAAGATCAAACTTTGAAAGAATGTTCTATTAATATTTCTGGAAGGAATGCTTGTTTTACATCATAAAAGTGCATCTATCCATCATAAAAGTGCATCTGTCCATCATAAAAGTGCATCTATCCATCATAAAAGTGCATCTGTCCATCATAAAAGTCCATCTGTCCATCATAAAAGTTCATCTGTCCATCATAAAAGTGCATCTATCCATCATAAAAGTGCATCTGTCCATCATAAAAGTGCATCTGTCCATCATAAAAGTGCATCTGTCCATCATAAAAGTGCATCCATCCATCATAAAAGTGCATCTATCCATCATAAAAGTGCATCTGTCCATCATAAAAGTGCATCTGTCCATCATAAAAGTGCATCTGTCCATCATAAAAGTGCATCTATCCATCATAAAAGTGCATCTGTCCATCATAAAAGTGCATCTGTCCATCATAAAAGTGCATCTGTCCATCATAAAAGTAAATCTATACATCACAAAAGTACATCTATCCATCATAAAAGTACATCCATCATGAAAGCAGATCCGGCCCACATCTGGATTCCACATGGCCCGGATGTGGGCCGGATCTGGGCCAACACTGTCTGGGATTCAGATGCAGAACGACAGCATGATTTTGATCGTTTTGACCGAAAAAAAAGAAGTAATTTTTGCTTATTCGTAAGGTCAAATTTTATCATCAGCAGCAGCAAAGATATTGGTTAATAAAGTGAGATTAAATACATAAAGTAGAATTTCTTTCTTATAATTCAGCATATTGAGTTGTTACAGGTTTGCGTAACATTCTGAGCTTGCATTTGATTGTGTTTGATGGATGCTGAATGTGTTTTTACACGACAGTGTCGGCCTAGATCCGGCCCATATCCGGGCCACGTGGAATCCAGATGTGGGCCGGAACTGGGCTGACACTATGTTGCTGTCAGGGCAGTTTTTCTTGATTTTTGATCGTTATTCTGCAACAAAGTGTCGGCCCAGATCCGGTTCACATGGATTCCACGCGGCCCGGATGTGGACCGGATCCGAGCTGACACTGTCTGACAAGATCTCGATCTCTTACCTTCCAGACAGCAGGTCCTCCACAGGCCCGAGTGTGTCATCACCTCCTCGTTTTTCTTGCCGGTCTCGTTCTCGTTGCTACTCTTCGTTTTGCAGACGCCGCGCGAGTACAGCCAATAGTCGGTTCCCACGGCGATGGTCATCAGACTGAAGGCGGCGAAGGCGCCCACCGTGGTCAGGAGCATCTGCACCCCGCGCTCAAACACCCCCATGCTGCCGCATTCCACGAAAGGGGAGACCCCTTTCCTCTTGATGTATAGGAAGTAAATATTTGTAAATTTAAGGGGACAACGAAAGAAGAAACAAGGAGCCTGAGAGCCGAAAAGGGCCCCAGAGGAGTAGGGGCCAACAAAGGGCCGATGAATTGAGAAGGAAGACAAGTGTGCGGGTCAACCTGCACCTACATGCTAACCCAACTGATTATGATTGACTTGAGTGGCACTCAATGGGAAGCTGAACATACTGCCATTCATCTTCACTCATTCTGGCCTGATCAGGCACGAGCCTTTAAATCCTCCGGACTGATGAATGGAAACCAGAATCACGTTCCCGAACCGCTGCCGGTCGAGTGGTGGCGCGCGCATCCATGAACCCAAAACGCGGAATATTCCAACAATGCGCGATTAAACACGACCGTTTGGGTGCGAATTGTGATTATATCGAGTCGCGCGCGTCGACTGAATCTGAATCAATCCATCCTGGCGATGATGATCAAAGAAACGAGAGGTTAAACAAAAATAAAGGATAAAATCACTCGTTTTTTCGTCTAAAATTCTGATCTCCAGTTTCCATACGTGTCCTTTATGTCGTCGAATGTTCGCGAGGAAAAGATCATCCGATCCTCATCACGCCACATGAACCCGGTCGCGCTCGCTCCACCGCAGCCCTGCTGTTCTCCGGTCCGCGGAACCGGTCACATCACACCCGGTGGCCGATCCGCAGCCCACCCGCTCCATAAACCACACGTACAAGTGAAAAAAAGAAAAAAAGAAAAAAGGCGAATCACGACGGATGAATCAAACCCCCTCACCGAGCGCTGCTCCCTCACGGCGCCGGGAATGAAAGGGTCAGTCGCGGGAACATCTGATATTAGTCCCTCTTTCTGTTCGGGATCGGGTTCCAGATGGAGGTTCTCGCGTGTGTGTGTGTGTGTGCGTGTGTGCGTGTGCGCGTGTGTGTGCGTCTGTCTAGTGCCGCTTGTTGCTGGCGAGACGAGAAACATTTAAACACTTTGGTTTAATTTGCGCACGAGACATCAAAACCATCACGAACGTCAGAATTCCTCTCGTTATAGTTCATAAACATGTTCAACATCTGCAGCCTCATTCTGGGACTTTGAGAACCTCAGAACTGAGAATTTATTTTGGGACTAGATCAAATTTTTGGTTGCATTTGGTTTGAACCTGAAACACACACACACACACACATGTGAGATTTTGCAGTGAAGTTGGCCATATGATGATGATGGTGCTGATGCTGACGGATGCTGCTGTTGCCAAGGCGACTGTCTCCCTCTTGCGATGGATTCAGCATTTGAGATGTTTTTACCGCACAGCGCACAACTATTACCCCTCGTTTACATGTCATCAGATGTGCTAGAGCTGCACTTCATCATTGTACACTCTTTACTGTGATCACAGCATCAGATGTGTGTGTGTGTGTGTGTGGTGTGTGTGTGTGTGTGTGTGTGAGTGTGTGTGTGTTGTGTGTGTGTGTGTGTGTGTGTGTGAGAGAGAGAGAGAGAGAGAGAGAGAGAGAGAGAGAAGAGAGAGAGAGAGACCGAAGGACACACTTTACATGCAGGACGGCGAACACCATGCGGCACGAAGAGAGAGAGAGACAGAGAGAGAGAGATCAAGAAGATTTATGAATTTGGAATACAATACAGTGACGTCACACAAGAGGAGGGTTCTGATTGGCCGAAGCTCTGGCTGATGGTGCTGCGGCTGATGTGTCTGTGGTCCTCATATCATGTCTCTCTCACACACACACACACACACACACACACACTTACATTTCATTGAAAGGAACACATTTGGTCAGACCTGGAAATCGAAGACTTACTGCTATGGTTGTGTGTTTGAGTTACAGGAATTTGATACACTTGGTGCTCTTGGAGGAGTTGATACTCCAGATGAGCACACACACACTGAACAGAACACACTCCAGATGAGCACACACACACACACACACACGCACACACACACACACACACACACACACACACACACACACACACACACTGACCAGGACACACAGTGAGTTGAGCGACTGAGAGGAATGAAGCGCACAGACAGTGTTTGGTCAGTCGCTGTAATCCGTCTAATGTTATGCTGTGAATCGTGTCGGAAAACAGAACGAACAAATAGAGCAGTAGAGCTGCCAGATACACTGATTGAACCACTAAAACACACACACACACACACACACACACACACACACACACACACACACACACACACACACACACGTACACTCAATCACGCCAAACACACTTTTGCTTTTGGTGTTTTTCTTTGCTTCTTTTCAGTAGGATGCTGATGTACAGGTGTGTGTGTGTGTGTGTGTGTGTGTGTGTGTGTGCTCTGAATGGAGTCGTGGGAAGTTGACAGCTCTACAGATGTGCTGACTGCCCAGTTTCCATGGGAACATCTTCATCTTTGCAGCATTTATTCATTCATTCAGTCTCTCTGTGTTTCTGTCCGTCACTGTGTTCACATGAGCTCAGCAGCTTTACCGTGTGTGTGTGTGTGTTTGACAGAACTGCTTTTACGGCAGAAATTAATCAAAACTTAGTCATCTGTCAATCAATACCAAAAAAAAACTAAACCTAAAATTTTCAGTCTTCCTTCTTAAAGTCGTCATGAAAGTGAAGTTGCGCTGCTCTTCTCTCCTCTAGTGTGTCGTATAACGAGTGAATCGCTTCAGGAATGAGAACAAATGTGGGCGGGGCTTGATTGTGTCTGTGGGGAGTTGATTGGACGGCTGTGGTTTGCTATTGGCTGATCTCATGTGAGTGACAGGTTATAGCCCCGCCCTCGTCATCAGAGAAGAGACGCTGCGAGAGGAACTGATTCTCATTCAACATTGTGTGCTGCCATAAATCATTTCAAATAATAATAATTAATATTCGTCATTTTTAGTTTCATGGTCAATGTAAACACACTTGTGCTAGATTAGGTCTTCTGAAGACACTGCATTGAAAACAGTGATGTAAAATTCTTTGATGTTACACAGAAGACAATCTCATAAATGCTGGAAGGACACGAGAGAGTAAATGATAAGAGAAATATGATTTTAATCAGCAAACTAGCACTTTAAAATCGGTTCAACTTTTCGAAAACACATCAAGAGCGACTCAGAGTCAGAACTCACTAATGAATGAATGTAGGGAAGACAAACAACTCCGATGATCAGCAGTGTGTGTGTGTGAGAACATTAAGAGCGCCACCCGCTGGAGAGACTCTGACACTGCAAGACAACATATTCATTTAAGAACTAAAGACATATTCATTTAAGAACTAAATACATCAGCATTATTTCACATTAATACAGAACTCAAACACAAACAATATAATGGAGGATTCTGCACAATCATTTATTACATCATGATCAAAGTAACAAGCAGGACTTTTACACAAGACAAACATTCATAAAAAACGAGCACATGCAAAAAAACAAAAAAACGAGAATTAAACTCAGAAAATCAAAAACACACGAATCTTTAAACACTGCCAGTTAGTGGCTAGTTATCTATAAACCTAGTTACTCTTTATAATCTGCATGTAAATAAGTATTAACTGAGTTTCAGTGTGTCAGGTCGAAACGACGGCATTAAACACACATTATACTAACATATGGTGACATGTCTGAGTAAAATGTCAGTTAAACAAGAAAGAAACTGTCGTTTCGGACACGTTCATTATTCCACTGACAGACGGGAATGCCGTGTTAAATGAATCGTTCACAGGAAGAGCAGTGACAAGCATTAAACGTTGATTTCATGCCAACTTGAGCTCTGGAGATGTTGAAGATGCTGCAGTTTTCGTCATTTTGATCTGAAATCACAACAAACACACATGTGGAAGGAAAAAACAGGAAGATTGTGCAATCTAGACCTTGAATCGACTCTGAGACGATCGGATAGCGTAGGGAGTCGAATCCAAAAGATTCGATTCCTCGCCTATAAACATCCACGTTCACCTGAGAAAACAGGAGATAATTAATAAATAAATGAGCACTGCTAATAAATCGGTCTTGTATAAACACAAGTGAACATCAGTAGTGATGAATGGAGGCTCAGACTGAGATCAGCACTGCTTTCTTCACGCTCGGCGCGGTTCATCCGCGCGTCAGTTTGCGCAGTGGACTAGTCATCACTGACCACACGAACACAACACGCTAATAGACTTAAATAAAGTTGTTTTATTTCACTTTTCTACCTTTTGTGGGAACTCGGGTTTCTCAAAGTCGGTAACACGCGCGGTTCCTCTCTGTATTTGCGCGCGCCGGAAGACAGACACCATCTGATTTATGACGCAGAACCTACGCAACTTCCGTTAACAGAGCAGTTTACGACATATTCGTACCAAAGCCAGTCTACGGAGTTATATTATAGACTTTCTCTGTTCTTACTTTTTTTGTATAACACTCACTTTATTAAAATATGGTAGTGATAAATGAAAAATTAAAAGCATGAGGTGGACGTGTATAGCGCCGCTAGATATATTGAAATGATGGGGAATTTAGTCTTTCACCACGAAATCATCTTTTTGTGAAGTTTCTTCCGAAACTGTCATTTTGCTCATTCTTTCTGGATGTCTTGATTGTCCAAAATGTGTTCTGGGATTCCTTATCTTACAGACATTATTTTGGGGTCAAAGCAAGTTTTAGTATTAACCTCCTTTTATTTATAATTGGAAAGCTAAGTTTTATATCAATACATGTAAATATACAAAAAGTAAACCACGCTTTGACATCTTCAAACAATAATTGAATTTGTACTTAAATACAGACAGCTATAAAAAAAAAAAACATCTAGAATTCGAGCCATGTTTAATATTCTTTCATAATAGGCTTTTATTCATTTTTGTGCCTCCCTTGTTTTTCTTTTCTTTGTTTTACATATCGTGGCAAATCATTTTCAATAAGTAAATTAGGCTTCTTTATATTATTTTTCTGGTTGACTATTGAACTATAACTTGTTTGTTGTCTGACAGTTTGTTTGTTTTGTGTCTTAGTCATAGATCAGTGGTCTTAGTAAATTCAATCAATAAATTGAAATAATTCGGGCTGACGGCTTCAGCAGAAGTATACACCAACAATTAACATCATTGGAACTCACAGTAGGACTGTATTAAATGGTTAAAAAGTTATTGTTAAAACTGAGTTTTTACTTCCGGGAACTCGGCTATTACGCTTGAGTTCGCGCGACTCCACCTAAAACTTCGGTGTAATCGCCAAACGTAGATAAATAGAGGGAAACTTGATGATTTTTCAGATAGTTAGTCGGTTCATGTAATGGTAAACGAATTTATTCGGCGTGGCATGCGTTAAAAACAGTATTTTGTCAGTTCCCCAGTGAACCGCGTATTGTGCCGACTTTAGAGTCTCGCTTGTTTACATCGGCTCTGGCTGCTTATGTGCGACAGTCGCGGACGCTTTACGGCAGAGACAGTGTCTGTGAGGTGAGCGAAACATGCTTATTCTCTTCATTATTATTTTACTTTATTCGTTCTAATGACTTATAAACAGCTTTGCAGTGATGAAGTGAACGTGTAAACGCATCACAGCTCTGCTTGAGCTAGTGTTCACTAATGCCAGTGTATTTCTCGAGCGCTTTTTCAGAAAACATGATCAACCAACACAAAGTATTAAACAAATAAAAGCGTCATAACAATAGTGTAAAGTGCTTTACAGACACTCGAGCTGTAGTTTTATGGAAAAGGCCACATTCGTCAAGTGAAAGCAAAGGTTTAAACTGCTAAAGAAAGTTTGTTGTGATTGTAAAGTGTTGCTTTACCTGCACAGGTGAGGAGATTGGATGCGAGAAGCGCTGAGGTTCTTCTGTCTGGTGAGTGTGTGTGTGTGTGTGTGTTAAAGGGCCAGTTATCCCATATTTAATCCCCAAGCCATCCGAGGTGTATATGACTTAACAAAAACCATCAGAGTTAGGGTGTATTTCCCTAAATATGGGATTTTGTTTTGCATTTTAGACTTATGTGACATATTGCAAAACTTTACAAACATATTTCAAAACATTTAATCCACATCCAAAAGCCTACAAAAACAGGAAGTGTCTTAATTAAATCAAAAGAGAAAATGCAGATAACACATTCATAAAAGAAACGATAGACATACAAGTGCAAGCTGCAGTTTCCTAATGTGGGACGCACAGTAACACACACACATCTCCTGACGTTAGTCGTTCTCTGGGATATGGGTGGACGAAACGTGCATGATTGAACTTTTGAACTTATAATGATAGTTAAACTCAATGCATCAAATCTATCATAGTTTTGATGCATTGATTATAAAGACGTTAAACATCTATTTTATGTTGTGTAGATAGAACAGAATTCGTGACTGTTCTCTAGCTCAGTTTACTTGACAACAAACACTAACAACCACAACAGGCCTATTTCAGGCTAACTATGAGCTTTGCTAAACCATAAACACCTGCAGTAGCAGCATTCTCATATTACACCAAATAACCATTTTTGCCCCATCACACACATTCGGCTGACTGAAGCGCTGTCCCATGGCACGTCTGTTGCTGTGTGGGATCCCTTTAACGCCACTGTTGTGTTGTGTGTGTGTGTGTGTGTGTGTGGTTTGCTCAGACGCTTCTGTCGGGTGTTTTGATGCTGCCGGTGTTGCGGTGGATTGGATCGCGCACGTTCTCCATGGCAACAGAAACGCACTCGTCCGGCACGCACTCGGCGGCCTTCGTGACCTGCCCGAACGACAGCGTGGCGCGAGAGCTGGCCAGGTACGGGGGGCGGGGCCCGTGTTGGTCATTCGGTGGCTGTGATTGGTCGAAACACCGCTCAAAACGCAGAACATCTAACTTAATTTTTTAACGTGCAAAAGTTTTGGACTGAGAAACTATTTGATTTCATCTGGTTGTATTTAACATTTCTTCAGAGCTTAAGAATTTATATATATAAAAAAAATGGAGTCTAAAAATACCGAGCGTCTGGCCGAGTCACGCTCCAAATTTGAAGCTGATATCACAAAAAATTAGCCGAGTAGGCTATCGTTCCAATTGTAGCGCCATATTTCACTTTTGAGTGGATTGATTTTTTTTTAAATCTGAAATAATAAAATAATAACACAATAGAAGCATTTTATTTAAACGATACAAATTTCAAAAACACAGCAAAATTACTCAAGGTTTAACTTTCTATAAAAATAGAAAAAAGCAGCGTCTAACAGATATTAAAATAACCTTTTCAGCCCGAGAGAATCGTTTCAAACAATTATTGTGGTAAAAATACACATTTGAATAGTCCAGAAAGACACAAGAAAGAAAGATATTTGCTCAAATTTAACCATAAACAGCCATATTGATTAATACATATTTTGCTTGTTATAAAAACATCTGAATGCTGATTTGATAAAAATACAGAGAGTCACGCTCCAAATTTCAAGCTGATATCACAAAAAATTAGCCGAGTAGGCTATCGTTCCAATTGTAGCGCCATATTTCACTTTTGAGTGGATTGATTTTTTTTTAAATCTGAAATAATAAAATAATAACACAATAGAAGCATTTTATTTAAACGATACAAATAGCAAAAACACAGCAAAATTACTCAAGGTTTAACTTTATATAAAAATAGAAAATTGCAGCGTCTAACAGATATTAAAATAACATTTTCAGCCCGAAAGATTCATGGTGGTAAAAATACACATTTGAATAATCCAGAAAGACAGAAGAAAGAATGATATTTGCTCAAATTTAACCATGAACAGCCATATTGATCAATACATATTTTGCTTGTTATAAAAACATCTGAATGCTGATTTGATATTAAGAGTAAAATATTTCTGAATATATTGTGACTATCTTTCACACCCCTTGAGAAATATGTGTGTGTATTTTGTGTGAATAAATGTGTGTGTTTTCATGATCTGTCCTCAGAGGAATAGTGGAGAAGAAGCTGGCGGCGTGTGTGAACATCATACCACAGATCACGTCTGTGTGAGTACATGTGTGTGTGTGAGAGAGTGTTCTGATGTGTGTCTGTGTGTTTGATGTGTGTGTGTGTGTGTGTGAGTGTGAGAGAGTGTTCTGATGTGTGTCTCTGTGTGTTCTGATGTGTGTGTGTGTGTGTGCAGGTACGTGTGGCAGGGGAAGATCGAGGAAGACGCTGAAGTTCTGATGGTGAGTTAAACTAATTTGATCACTAATTACGTTCATTTGATCGTTTCATTTCCTCTGCTTCTTTATTAGTGTTTTATTTTTATTAAAGCATAATTTAGAAGGTCGAGACTTTAAATCAGAAAGCAGATCCAGACAGAAACACGTCAAATGAGACACATGTATATATGATGAGGATTCCCATCTCTGAGCTTATATATAGTTCATTACAAATAACCATTTTATATATTTTTTCAGAATCGCAAATTTTTTTTTTCAGAACCACGATTTTAATTTTTTTCTCAGAAAAAAAAAATTGTCTCACAATTTTTTTTTCTCACAAAATAGCAATTGCAAGTTCAGATTGCTTTATATAAACTTGAAATTCTGAGGAAAAAGTCCAAATTGTGTCACGATAATCTTATTATTATTTTATTCCGTGGTGGAAACCAGCATGTGCGACACACACACACACACTCAACTGTAGACAGAATAATGTGAAGAACTGATGGTTTACAAACTTTAACATATATATATTAGGGCTGTGCAAAGATTAATTGCGATTAATCACATCCAAAATAAAAGTCTGTGTTTACATAATATATTTATGTGTGTTGTATATAATTATTTAGTATATATAAATACACACACATGCATGTAAATATTTAAGAAAATGTGTTATTCATATATAAAATATTTATATAATTTAGATTATGTATTTATATATATATATACAGAATTTAAGCGCAAATAATTCTTAAATATATACATGCATGTGTGTGTATTTATATATACAAAATAATTATATACAGTCAGCACACACAAATATATTATGTAAACACAGACTTTTATTTTGGATGCGATTAATCGCAATTAATTTCTGCACAGCCCTAATAGTAACGCAATAATAGTGAACAACACCATCCGCCTCATTCATGAACAGTGATGTGTGTTTCCAGTGACGCATGCATGTGATATCAGATAACTCCAGTTTTCTTTACATTTTTCCCAGATGATTAAGACGAGAAGCTCAAAGATTCCTGCTCTTGCTGAATATGTCCGGTATCCACCACAAAAACACATTTCAAGCATTTCTGCATGCAGTTCTCAGACGGATGGCTGTGCATTTATTCAGAAGTGCTGTTTGTTGTGCAGGTCGAATCACCCGTATGAGGTGGCGGAGGTCATCAGTCTGCCCATCGATCAGGGAAACCCGCCGTATCTCAAGTGGATCGCAGACGTCGTGCCGGAGTGAGCGGCGCTTCCTCGCTCCAGAACCGCGTCCAACCACAGATCTCACATCTCAAACTCTGTGAACCGTTTGATCTGTTACTAAAACTCGTCATCAGAAACATGCACGCGTGTGTCTTCTTATTTAACATTTACGGGGTGTGTTGTTTGTTCTGTCAGCCTGTGTTTAGATTCACATTGTTTTGGCTTGACACACAACTATTGATCGGAGATTAATTATTGATTGGAGGAGTGTAAAGGCTTTTATTCTGTGAGCAGAACGTCATTTATACCACAGAGATGACACCATGATCAATCACAATCAAGTTTAGCAGACGAGATCATGCACAACAGCTTTTAATGGAAAATGCAGCACTGGATTCCCTCAAATGTTAGTAAACACACACACACACACATGCAGTGACCAATCCTGATCATCAGTCCAACACTGACTGTTCTTGATGTGATTATGCAGCGGATTCTGTGATATGCACCCAAACACATAGTTCATAATCAAACACATAATCCACTGACTGAGCTCAGCCTGAATCACATTTACATCGGATTGAAAGGTGTAGATCTGAAATAATGAATAATTAACCATGTAAACACTTGAATCTGACTATTTTCTCAGTGCAAATATACTTTGTGCATGTGTTTACGTCTTATGAATGTGTGTTTAGTTATTTCATCTTGTCTTATGAACACTTAATAGCTTTCTTTTTAGATACACTTCTGTTCAAAAAGTTTGGGGTGCTGGAAGTCTCACCAAGACTGCATTTATGTGATCAAAAATATCAGATAATATTATACCAGTGTAAATCGTCTGTTTTCTATGTGAATATATTGTAAAGTGTAATTTATTCCTGATTTTATCATCATTACTCAAGTCTTCAGTGTCGCATGATCCTTCAAAATCACTCTCTGGTGATCAAGACACAGTTATGAATTATCAGTGTTGAAAACAGTTCAATATTTCTGTGGAAACCGTCATACATTTTATTATTCAGAATTCTTTGATGAACAGAAAGTTCAATAATCTTTTATATAACATACATGTCTTTACTGTCACGATTTTGATCAATTTAATGTGTCCATGATACTGAATAAAAGTATTAATTTCTTTAACAAAAAGAAAACCTATACTGACGCCAAACTTGTCAGTTATATCGCTTTCTCTGGCTGAAAGGCATTACCTGACGCGCATGCGCTGAAGTTTTGTTTCGAATACGTGATAATATGCACATGTAGGCTATTCACTGAAAAGCCTTCCAGTAAACACCTTAATCGATCCGATTGAGCACGATCACAATGAAATGTCGATCGGTTTGAAATGTGGGGTTTATTCCTTTTCTATTCCGATCGAGAGATCATGGACTGTGATTGCGTAGAAACAGCGTAATGACGTGTGACGCGGGGAACCAGCTGTTGTTCCTGTTAATAAAAAAAATGACATCAATTCTATAATTCTCCTTTCACTCCTCAGCGTGTGTGACACAGACGACTGGGTTTGGGGAGTTTTACTGTGTGATCAGTATAAGCAGCGGCACAACGATTAATACGCTCACTGTCTCCAAATTATGACCAGAAATGGATAAATATTAAAGGATAATTCCGGTATTTAACACCTTGAGTCTATTTTGTAGTTTGTTTTGAATGAAATATAGAGTGGTGGACGTTTGTAACGTCACGTAATACGTAATTACGTTCAAAAGGTCATGGGCGACGTAGCCGGAAGTACATAATCAAAATCGTCCGACATCGTTGTTTTACCTTTTAATTCCTTTTTTTGTAAACGGCGTTTGAGCTAGTTCGCACGTTCAACCTATGCGTTCAACTTGTAAACACTCTGACTCTGTACTTCTGGCTACGTCGCCCGTGACCTTTTGGACGTAATTACGTATTACTGACGTTACAAACGCACCTCACAGAATAGAGCAAGGCTAGCATTTGTCCTCAGAAAAGTTACATTTTTGGAATAAGCTTTGAAATAACCGATCGTTTCGCATGATAAGACCCTTATTCATCGTCTGGTGTCGTTTAAAGACATTTGAAGCTGCATCTGAAACTGTCGTTTGGACCTCGGACCGTCTGGTTCCCATTGAAGTCCATTATATGGAGAAAATCCTGGAATGTTTTCATCAAAAACCTTAATTTCTTTTCGACCGAGGAAAGAAAGACAAGGACATCTTAGATGACATGGGGGTGAGTAAATTATCAGCAAAAGTTTTTTCAAAAGTGAACTACTCCTTTAAGGGTTGTTTTATGGACATGTTTGTGCGGTTCAGGCGATTCTAAAAAAAGTCAAAAAGTCGAGACAGGACCCAATGTCAAAATTTCTAAGTCCACCACTCTATTTAATTCAAAACAAACTACAAAATAGACTCAATCTGTTAAATACCGGAATTATCCTTTAAGTCTGCTGTAAAAAAACAAAAACAAATAAAAAAACAATGTAGGAGATTAGTAATTATGCACAAACAGTGGGAAACTCGGGCTGTGTGCGCATGTCAAACAATATACAGTATTTCGATCAACATGTAAACACTACGTCCGGATTCATGAATCAGAATGATTTCAGTCCAATTGAAAGTTGTAACGCAGCCAGTGTTGCTCACAAGCAGCTGATCTCCAGGACCGAGCGTTTGTCCTTGCTGTTCTCCGACAGATGTGACGCCCGCGCTCCGCTGTTCTCACGCGTCGAGCTAACGGATCGCTCCACGTCCGCTTTCCCAGAGCTCTCCTCGTTGCATCCGTTCCGGAGTTCGCTCTCCTCGTTCTCTTCGACGTCGATCACCTTCAGCTGCTCCTTCAGATCCAGTTCTCTTCGAATCTCCTCGAGCGGTAACGCAACAATGCCCGTTCCCGGTTGCAGATCGTGGTTTTCCACACGTCTGGACGATCGGCACAAGGCTTTCCGGAATCCTCTTTTGAAGTTATCTGACAAGACGCCGTACAGAATGGGATTCGCGCAACTGTTAGCGTAGGAAAGAACCACGACGAAGTAATACAGCCCTCTGAACTCTCCCGGGAGAAGCACAAGCAGGTTCACGATGTTTAACACGTAAAACGGCAGCCAGCAGAACACAAACACGGCTACGACGATCACAACCATGCGCGTGATTTTGCGCTCCGACTTTCTTCGGCGAATCGACGTAGCGCGAACTTTTCGTCCGGAGCTGCGCACTTTCACAACGATCAGCAGATAACACAAGCAGATTACCGTTAGCGGGCCGAAAAACCCGACAGTCGAAGTGTAGATTATAAACGCCGCTTTCCAAACCTCCGCCGGCTCCGGCCACACGATGCTGCAATTCCCGTCGTCCTTCAAAACGCCGGCGAAAACCACAACCGGAAGAACCACAACGAAAGACACGGCCCATACGGTCGCATTCACAGTCTTGGCCACACGGGGCTGGCGCCACCTAGAGGACTGGAGCGGATGCACCACAGCCAGATATCGGTCGATGCTCATCACCGTCAGACAGAAGATGCTAGTAAACTGGTTAATGGCGTCCACCGTCATGACCAGACGACACATTAGCGATCCGAAGGGCCACGAGAGCAGGCCGTTCTGCACGGCGAGGAACGGTAAACCCAGCATGAAGAGTTCGTCTGCGATGGCCAGATTGAGAATGTAAATATTCGTCACAGACTCCGCCTGGGAATATCGCAGAACGATGTGGATGACGAGAGTGTTTCCGATCAGGCCGACGACACACACCGTGATGTAGATTAGCGGGATTAGGATCCCGGCGACTCCCGGGCCGTGATGCGCCGATCCGCTGTCGGTCCAGTTCTCACTCGGAGAGAGCAACGAGGAGGACGAGTTAATCCACAATTCTGCTTCTGTCGTGGAGGGATGTGATGTTATTCGATGAACCTCCATCGTTGTTAGAGCGAATGACTCTCAGCAGCCGCCCATCTGATCTATGAGTGAGAGAGATTATTGGTTATTGAGTATGAAAATACTCGAAAATACGAATATATAAAAAAATTAAAGTCCCCCTTAAAACTCATCTATGATCACCAAAATGACATATTTAAGTGGTAAATGTTTAGTCATGTCTTAAAATATCTTGACTGTAACTCGACACCCTTGCCTCATTTAGTATGCACGGTTTTATGAATATGCAAATGAGCCCCGCCTCCACTCACCCACTCAGAGATCCACTGGTTGACAATCACACGTTGATCTGATCGGTTACAAGGTGGTTTGTGATGTCAGAAACACCAGCGATTTCAAATCGTGTTTTTGAGACTGTCTTCCCAGATAGCAAACTGACATTGAATCAACGTGGAAATATGACATCGAAACAACGTTGATCTGACATTCTTTTGCTCATCGAATTAACGTTGAACCAACGTCAGACGCGTCATTCTTTCAAAACTAACGGAAAATCAACTTGAAATCAACGCGTTGTTTCAACGTTATGAAAGCAAACCAATTTTCGATTTTCATTTATCTTTGAAGAATGCCGCGTCTGACGTTGGTTCAACGTTAATTCGATGAGCAAATCAACGTTGTTTCAATGTCATGAGAGACGTCGTTTCCACGTTGATTCAATGTCAGTTTGCTGTCTGGGTCTGGTTCACTGCAGTTTTAAGCAATGCTGTCCACTTATCAACTTACACACGGTGTGTGTTAAAGTGGATCAAAAACACCACATACACAAAACATTAAACGCTGGATTTTGACCACAGGGGGACTTTAAAGATATCAGGTTTCAGAAATAGTGTGACAAGGATTTAACTGTAATAAGGTGCAAACAAGGCCTCAGTTGACTGTGACTGTTCCAATATGGCGGACGGCTTACGTATTGCTGCGTGATTCAAACGGCCGCTAAAGAGGACTCTATGAATCTCTAGCTATGACCTTAATGGGAACTAATGAAAGCGGAACATTCTTAGAAGTGATTAACTCCTTTAATACAATAATACTGTAAAAAAAAAAAAAAAAAACACAAAAAAAAACGGACATCTTAATGGTGGTTGTAAATAATGAGTAAATTGAGCGCAGCGGCACAGAAGAACGTCATGTCCGCGATCCCGTGTTTCTGGACCCCGACCGGGTCTCGACGAGCGTCAGGCCTGTGATTATGAATGATGTACCGCTTGCTGAAGTGTATCACCGTCTGTCCGCGAGCACACACTTATAACACCGGGTAATCAGCAGCGGCAGCGGCGCAGTCGGACGTGTCTCGAGGTAAAAACACTCAATTAGGAGCTCAGGAAGAAAACACAGGCTCTTTGTATAGGCTATAGATCAAGTCTAGATGTCTGATTGTCATCCTCTGACTGAGCGACACCAATTACGAGCATCTGGACACTGAAATCAAAGGCAATGCATCATTATTTTGCCTCATGTTCTGGTCTGTTGTGATGCTGCTGCTTTTGGAGAATGTCTCGCCACAAACATCTGGTAATTATCAATAAATCATGAGCACTTTGATCAATCATTTTATGATTTGGTCACTGCTGGCTGGTATCAGTGCATGTTTATGTCATAGTATTGTGAACTGCAGGGTGAGTAAAATAAGTCAATTTTGAGTTTAGTGCCCAAAGTACAGACAAACATTTGAGAAACATCATGCGAATATACAGTATGTCACAGATGGCACACTGATGCTGTGGTGTGTGTGTGTGTGTGTGGATCTTTCATGCGTCAGATGTTTTCCTCATCCGCAGGTGAAAGTCACAGAGCTTCACCTTTTATTCTTCTTAACGCTCTTTCTATAATTTACTCCTACTCGGAGTCTGTGCATTATCATCTTTACTGACATTTACAACCAAAAAGTGACGCAGAGACGCCTCGTCTGATGATGCGCTTTAGGTTTACACACACACACACACACATGGGCTCGTCTCTTCATTGCCTGGGCAGCGTCTGAAAGAGCATAAACATAAAAGAATAAAGGGCAAAAGAAAACACTTACACACACACACACACACACACACAGAGGCTGAGGAATGTGTGTGAGTGCGATTAGACCCGTTCATTATCTGAGCACAATGACTGTCAGTGAAACAGTTAAAGACTAAAGAGAGCAGAAGGCTTTAGTGCTGCATTAGCAGGTGTGTGTGTGTGTGTGTGTGTGTGTGTTTACCGAGGGGTTTGTGCTGATTCTGTGCTGGTCAAGATATTCTACAATAACGTCTTCCACCACAAACGTTCATTTTTTACTTCACTCTACCTGTAAACGCATCCAAAAGTTTGGGGTCAGTAAGAAATTATTGCATTTATTCAGCAACAATTCTTGTATTAAAGTGACAAAAAGTGACATTAAAAACATTTATAATGTTACTCAAGATTTAAACACACACACACACACACAGTGATTTTGTTGCCCAAACTCAGTCCAAATATTGGCATTACATTATGAAATTGTAATTTTGTTCTCCGAAAGTTGTTGAACGTCCAACTAAACTGTGTCAGAAAAACACTCGTTAATGATGTAAATACTGGTTTTGATTATTAACATTATTATAGAGCAGATAACTTAATAATGTTTCTGGAAGAGCGTTTGATCATGACGTTCTGCCTGTTGTCTTGGATCGAGTTTTCGTCTTAGTTAGTTGTGAAAATCAAATCAGTGTTGATGTCTCCATGTCGGTGAAATACATTTCAATATTGATTTATAAGTGTTTTCATAACCATTTAGCATTAACATTAAACGGACATAATTAGGAGCAGATTTCAGTGTTGGCGTACGTGCTAAAAGACAACAAGAAACATCAACACGACTCGATTTGTGGTCTTAATTAATGTTCCTGCTCGTATTGTTGAATCAATAATTCATCAGAGACAAAAGACATTCTACAGAAATAAATGTCTTCATAATCTTTCACTCCTCCTCAGAAACGGCTTTCCTTCAGCAGAAATCATCAATCACTCTTATTGATCAACGTCCTTTACGCAATTATTCAATCCCAAAAGTCCAATTTATTCTCATTTAATATTCTGATTTATTCAGAAATGCGTCACCTTACGGAAGAAAATGGGCATTTTATGTTACTGTTTATAGAACAGAGTCATCTGGTATTTAATAACGTTCTCAAAACATTAGACAAAACACGTTATTCATAAGCATTCATGGAACGTTTTTCTGAAACGTTTTGTTTTTATGTTTCTTAAAGAGGAGGTTGATTATGATTTCACTTTTCTAATCGGACACACACACACACAAGCTGTTGAAGCTCCGCCCCCTGTTCCGGGAGCATCAGCTCATTTGCATTTAAAGGGACACACAAAAACGGTGAGAAGCAGCTCTCAAAAAGTGACAATTTTAACATGCTATAAAAAGTATATGTGGGATATTTTGAGCTAAAATATACACACACACACACACACACTTTAAATGTTACTGATTGTTTCAGAGAAAAATCTACAGTTACAGATGGAATGCAACAAAAACACGGAATGTTCCCTTAATGTTCGTTTAACCAAAAATCAACATTTAATTTTTTTTTACGGATTTTTATGCTACTCATTGTAAAACATGGTATTCGCGGTAAATCAAGAAAACGTGATTTAAACAAAAGACTAACTGTGATGAGCTGTTTAGTTTTATGGCGATGAATGTATCCGATCCACCGCTCACCTGTCCAATAAAACACGCAATATATTAAAGCGTCTTTGGTGTTTCTGTACTTTCCACAAAATAAAACTGATCTCATGAAATGGCGTATGTATGACACGCCAATTCGTGTTTCCATTTTTGGCGCGCTATCAACACGCATAATCGCTTATCAGCGTGTTTATGAACGCCGTTGACTTAACGTTACATTACTGTATATATAAATATAGGACGTACCCCAACCCCGTCCCTAAACTACCCGTCACTGGGGTTAATAGCATTTATGAGTCTTCCTATGAAAAAAAATATCGCTCCGCAGATGTAGATCCACATTTTTCTTCATTTCGTGGCGTGTGCATACACGCGGAAATCACTCAGACATTTAAAAGCATAGACATACACGCATACACGCGGATAGCTCAAAATGCTAGATAACACGCCACTTGACTTGAATGTGGCGTGCATGTTTACGCAAAAGTCATGATGTCATTTTGAAAATAAAAACGGAAGTCGAGGGTAACGGGGCTATGACGTCATCGTTAGGCGATGTGCGGTCCGTGCACTGTAAAAAATAATCCTGTTAAAAAACGGTAAACTACTGGCGGTTGTGGTTGCCAGCATCATACTGTAAAAATATGGTAATAGCTAACAGCTAAACACCGTTTTGTCAGCTACACCATATAGCTGTAGCAGACAAAACGGTATTTAGCTGTTAATTTTAAAAACGGTAACACACCAAATTTTTACGGTATGATGCTGGCAACCACAGCTGCCAGTAGTTTACCGTTTTTTTACAGGATTATTTTTTTACAGTGAAAACTGTGTATTTCTCCGGAGTAAATCATTCTTGTAAACATTTGGGATAATGTATCAACAAAATATATAACATAGTTCTAGTGGTTTTTGGACCAAAAATCTTACATAGTGTGCCTTTAATGTATGTATTACCAAAAAACAATGTTTCTAAAAAAAATTTTTTTTCATGGATGTTTTGCACATTCAGAGAACATACTAAAGTCACGGATGGAATATAACCACCACAATGTTTTTCCCCCATAATTTTAATGGGAACGTTAGCAAAACGCCAGTGTTCTGCCTTCATCGCTCAAAGCGGATCGAGCGCCGGCGGTGTGAACAGCTGTGCAGGTTAATGTGGATTAATGGCACCTCTGGGAACAAAAGATCCTGCCATTTTGATCTCGATCAGTCTGATGCCATTGAGAAACCTTTTCAGCAAAAGCACAAACAGCTGCATCGCACGCCAGCGCAATTAATGAGCATTCACCCGACATAAAGCGTTTCATCTTCATGTGAGAATTCAACACTTTTCATTTCAGAAACTATCTATAGTTGATATGCTGACTCTAAATTCATATGCAAATGTGTTTTTCCCCAAGAAAATCCTGTTTTTAAAGGAATCCTCCTGGTGACGAGCTGTCGATTACCACGGAAAGTCATTTCGTTTGCACAAGCACAATTCTGTTCACAGGAATAATGAAAACAAAGACTCGAGTAATCAAACCTCCTCTGCAACTCCTGTCAGAACTTGGCAGAACTTGTGTTAATCAGAAGGTTAGACTATTTAAAGCTAAAAAAAATCAACATTTGTGTGCAGAAAATTAATCTAAGTGATTTACACGTTACATTTCTTTATATACACCCTCTGGAACGTCTTCGCTTTAATGATAAGTGCACTTAAACGTATGCTTCCTTCGAAAAACGTTCTTCTAATATGGAATCACTGTGATAAAAAACCACCTGAAACGTCTTCTGTGTGTTTTTACAGATAAATACACACACACAGAGTAATGCTGCAGCCATGCATAAGTTTTCTGTTTGCATTTCAGCATCAAACAACTGCACCTTTAAATCATTTACACAAGATTATATATTTGAATCATTTCAGATTACCATTATATCTCAAAGTAACATGGAAACTCACCGTTAGTAGGCTTCACCTCGTGTGTGTGTGTGTGTGTGTGTCGACCTGTACGAGCGACTCTGGAGAAGTGAGACGCAGCACGAGGACACACAGCATCCCGTATCCAGGCAACCACTGGGAGAGAGAGAGAGAAAGTGTGTGTGTGTATGTGTGTGTGTGTGTGTGAGAGAGAGAGAGAGAGATATTAACTAAGATCATCCTCTGCGATTGCTGGTGGAAGATGTTCCTCTTATTAATGTGTGCATGTCGGGTCAGACGGACCTAAACTCAGGTGATTTGAGTCATTAAAAATGTAAGGATGGACCCAAACATGCATGCACAGGGAATTAGTCTTGGTGCCGAAACTACAGGAAACACCAACAATACCAACAAAAGTAATTAATGAAGTGATTAAATCTTTACAAAGAAACATAATCTTATGATTTCAAAAGCATGCAAACAGTGTAGACAATCACTGTGAGGTTATTTCTTTAAAAACTCACCGGCCCCTGAGGAAAAATTCGTTCTTCATAATAATATTGGCTCTGTAATTTGATT